GAGGGATACCGTGGGGCATTCTTAGGAACCTCGACAGTCCACGGCCTAGGGCGGCCATCCTTCTTGAGGGCTGGTGTAGCCCTTGGAGGTGCTGCTAATCGCCTCGAGAGCTCTGGGTATGTCTGTGATGTCGGCGGGCGTCGTCTGGGCATGGGTAAAGGATGATTATCGTTATCGAAGTCGGCGGCCGAGGCCCGAGAGGGTGCCGGGCTTGAGCCATCGACATCTACGGCGTCAGCCATGGACGGCCCACGCGACGTTGTGTGGCTCTGTGGTGACGAAGCAGCGGAAACAGATGCCGAGGCCGAGGCCGACATTGATGCTGAAGCTACGCTTCCAGGAGCGTCGATATTGGAAAGTTCGAGGCGTAACCGAGAGCCGACTCTTCGCGGCGTGGTGACAAGGCGACCATGGCCTTGGGCAAGGTTTGCGCTTTGGCCCTGCCCTTGACCTTGGGCCTGGACAGGGTCGAAGGAGTCGCTCGAGGCATCACTAAGGGCCGAGTCCTTGCGCACAGGTGACGAAGGAAACAGCTGCTGCGACAGAGCGCGTTGGGGCGGAGGCCGCTGAACCGGCGGCAGCGTCGTGCTGCTGAGGGTTCGCTGCGGCGGTCGCGGGTGGACGCCGATGGGGGTCCTGGAGGTCATCTCTCAGACGGGAGGTGAGGCGCCATCCCGTTGTATTGCTAGCTATGAAGATGTGGATGCCAACGAAGGTTAGGGTAGTAGGTAGGTGCTGCGAGGTGGATGCGTAGGTACCGAGTCGATACTGTGCGATACGGGTAGCAGCCGGGTAGTTGGTTAGTTCGGAGAGGCGAGTAAACGTTCCAAGGGCCGGTCGAGCCTGATGACAGTTGCCGCAGCGGAAAGAGAAGTTGGGAGAAGGTTGATATGAGGTGGACAACAGCCGCGAGGAAGATGAGTGGACGTTGGATTTTTTGAAGAAGGTACGGAACCGTCAACCGATGTCCGGCAGAAGGGAGTTGTATTTTCCCGCTGCACCCGAATATCAGCCCCAGCCTCAGGCGTTGCGATAGCGCGCGCGGCAGCAAATCAGGGCTCTGGCGCACGACTCGCGAGGACGATTGATGTGCGTATCTGGGGAGGCGAGATGCCGATGAGGCGGTGCAATGGCGTGCAGAAGCAAGAAATCCAAGATGAAGTTCCAATGACGGAATGAAGGGGAAAAAAGAGGGAGTCGATATGACAGACGGCAAAGGCGTTTTGAGAGCGAACAATGGCCGCGAGAGCGAAGCTGACGGCTCGATTCCCTTAGCACCTATTTTTTGTCTCGCCAAGGTACGGGACAGGGTATCTGTACCTGTCGCACAGCACGCCGAGGGCGTTCCGTATCTGTACCCTGGACACTGTGCGATGCTGACTGGACGCACAATTCCCACTAATCTTTGGGCCGCTGTAGGTGGTGTGACAGCCTACAGGTATGAGTACGAGTACAGGCAGGTACTGCGGCGCTAAGGCCTGAGGGCTGCGAGGACACTGTACAAACTTGTCTAGCGGCTCGTCCCCAGCGTACAGTAGGTCCGGATGCTGGTCCTGTCGACGGATTTTGCGCGGCTTTTTTCTTTCCTTTTCTTCTTTTCTCCTTTCCTTTGTGTAACGTAAGATGCGTGACTACCACTCGTACTTAACCCAACAACTTCCTACCTCACCTGCACGAGCAGTAGCACGGGTTGATACCTACCTGCCTTAGTAACCTTGACAGCACCTTAATCACCAGCGCACAGGGACGATAAGAGGCAGCTCGGGTAAATCGACAGGGCCAGCGTTTATTTCCCTTTGACGACTTGAACGATGTAAAACGACCTTACACAAAATTCAGCCCCTATTCAATATTCAACCACCACAAATCTCAAAGCGATATTGGGGATGATCCTACGGTACGAGTATTAGGCACAAGAGGGCCGATGCCTACAGGAACCAGACGAAGAGGGGGGCGTGCAGTGCTGCCTCTTTCGGATGGGCAAACCAAGTTAGCAGCGCGATAAGGCACTCATCGGTGGACTTGATGTTCCAGTTAGCAAAAAGCATCGCTCAGGGCCTTCCAGCGGGATTGCGGCCATTGGCGGGCGCTATGCAGCCAATATTGCCGCTAAGCCACGGAAAGCTGCTTGCTCCGTACCTGATGTACTGTCCGTCCATGACAATATGGGGTTGGCGAAGGTACCTCTACAAATCAGGAACTCGCTCCAGCCCGCGATGCGCCACATGCCACCACGACATTTGCTGTGTGGCTGCGGCCACCCCGTTGCACCATCTCCCCCATCCCCAAAATTTCCCCTCAGATTTGATGGATCCCAACTGCAAATAACCTCTCGAGTAGCGCGGAGCCAGCATTACTGTATTGTTTACGGCTTGGCTTTGGCGGCAGCATTGTTGGCACGCATCTAGACAAATTGCTCGGTCAGTTCAGCCGCCCCTTCAGCCGGGTCGAGGCAGAGGCAGAAAACGACGGGACGACGTTCAGACACGGCCGGAGAGACTCGAGCTCTCAGGGAGATGTTGCGAGTTGCAAGTTGCAAGCCGGCATGATTCATGACTTGATACCACGTTTTCTCCCGGACGTTTCTCGCCATCTTCTCGCGGTAGACAAGGGGTGGGCTTTTTATCCGGCCCGCCATTACGAAATATTCGCCTTGCCATTACTCAAGATCAAAGCGTGCAGTAATACTGATTCCGACGACAACGAGACGGACTAAAAGCAAGGCAAAGCACGATGGCGGACCAATGTCCATCAGGAAAACGGACCATTACTAGCACGATATCTGTCATATCTTCTGTACGAGCACTTGGACTCCGGACAGCACGCGGAATGCGGAAACATGCAGCCCCCGCACAAGATACATACAGACATGCATGCTTGGACATGTACAGTATGACCCATCTCCATCTCCATCTCCATCTCCATCTCCATCTCCATCTCCATCTCCATCTCCATCTCCATCTCCATCTCCATCTCCATCTCCATCTACAGGTGCGAGCCTGTATTACCGTGATTCGTACATGTACGAGTCCTGCCTCTATGCTGCGAGGGCCGGGGTGCCTCTTTTTCTCTCGTCAAAGAGCGCATGTAACTCGATGCCCTTGTCCGCATGTGCATGCAGCCACGCGATGCAAAGTGACAACCGGCGCAAATAAACTGACCGACATCATGGATACTACCTACTAGGTGGCCAAGATAGCACTTGTGCATGTAGGTACGAGACATGCAAGAAACTTTCTCCGAAACACAACTCTCCCTTGCCTCTGCTCGCGGGTTCCTTCATCGGTGATTTTGTCAAGCGTGGCGCCGCTGCAAACCCAACGGCTACTCGTATTAGCCACTTCAGAGGACGCCTGACCAATACACCTCCGTGGACACTTGGGCATTCGACATCAAATCCTCCATTCAAGCCCCAAATCTCCTTCAAGGCGGGGTTAGAGGCGGTGAAGCAGCGCAGCGAGCCTTTGCAAGCAGTGGTAATAGTTTTCTTGGTGGCGTATTCAAGTTTGCTACAATCTCCCTCGTTGCCAAAGGGACGCCAACCTAGCTCAGCGCCACAACGCAAATATGGCCCTTTCGATTCGTCGTTGGGACGCATTCAACTTTGTGCAACGGGCTTTAGTAATACATACGACCCTGGGAGTAATAGCGGCTGAGTCGAGGATGGACAACCCTGGCAGGGCAAAAGGCATACGGACGGGCCAGGCCCCGGGAGCCTCGCTCGCCCTTGAGTTTTCAGGTCTCGCGGCCACTGCCCGGAGCAGTAGTCCGCATACCAGCATCTGGGCTTGAGACCCCGAGATTGCTCTCCGCACGAATGAATTGGGTGGCTACTACCAGTAGTACCGGGTCTCGCTCGTATCGGACAGCCAGATCTGCCATCTGTCCCACTGTGTGACGCATGAGGTCAAGACAATGTCTTGTCCACGCAACTACAGTAAGAATGCCGTCTTTACCCCGATGGCTGAATATGTCGGCAGCTCCTCCATACAGAATATCAAGTACGCTGATGAGGGTGTGATCCATGACGATGATTGATGGAAACGATGATGAAGACCGTGATCCAAGCCTATGCATGTTTTTGTCCTGCTGCTGCGACCAGTTTGATATGGAAGCGATCCAGCCGAGACTGTCTCATTCACCAGGCTATTGCCATACCTAGCGATCAAGATTCTACAAGCGCCATTGCCTCTTGATACCAACCCGAGGTCCACCTACCGGGATCAAGTGCAGCAAATATTAAGATTGCACATAAGTAGCTGCGCGACCTAGGCCGTCTCTCGGGTTTCGATGATCTCTTGACGGTGGTACAAGTTCAAATGCTTCGGCTTGCATGTGATAACCGGACGCCCTTGATCGTCCGGGTATCCTGAGCAAAGAGCCTGGCCCAGCCTCAGAGCGTCGGATCAAGCCCGTTCCGCAGCAGATCGGGTCGGATACGCTTGATGGATGAGACAGTCGTAGCACTTGATTGAAACGTGAGCCCGAGGCCCAACCCACGCTCTGTTAGCACAGGAGTCGGGCAGATATGGCATCAGCCTCCACGGAGAAAATGGGAGACCTTGGGCACCTAGTAGTAGCAAGCCGTACTCCATACATGCACGTCAAAACTGCATGTGTGCTCTGTACATGTAGGTAATATCGTCAAGATGCAAGGCCACGTCGACGAGTCCCCGTCTCATGCTACCCTAGACCCGATAATTCTCCGTCGGGCGGTTCAAGGGAAATGCGACTGCTTTGGTCCGAATATTGGGCTTTGGAGGGCATAATATATCGTTTTCATAGACCTGGATTACATGTTACATATTTGATCCCATTGGACATGGAATAATATAGTCGCTTTGTGTTCCACAATTGTGATTTCCTAGAGCGTCACCGACGATCAATATAGATAGAGTCAAAGGGTTTCCACCAAGACGTAAAACACTACACATATAGACCAAGTCTAACCTATCTACATGTGCTTCCCTATCTATAACCAGGCACCTAACAGCATCGTGACGGGCAAAAGCGTTATCAGTGGGACGAGGCCCCCTTTGATTACATGTACTCGAAGCTGTAAGTCGTGGCCGTAGTACGAATTCTGACAGTGTCAGTTACAAGCGCGCGAATGGTGAGGCAAACGGAAGATGAAACATCAATCCGGAAGAGAAAAAACTAATGTTACCGGTACTACTTGGTACTACTGCTAGCATCATACAAACACATGGTCCGTCACATTGTACAAGTCAGAGCGTCTCGAAACTCGAGTCGCGCATTCATCAGAGCTCACCAGCATCGGCCTCGTTAATGCTCCACTCGCTCCAGCCTTTCTTCTCGCCAGGCAGCTGGATGCTCTGCCACTCCTCCTTGGTGACCTTCTTCCACTCGTCAATGGGGATCCATCCAATGTATGCACGATCGCCGAAGCCGCCAATCCAGTACACCTGCGTAACAACCAGCCTTGCCCACTCGCTGGCATGGATGGGGTTGCCAGGCAGCCAGTACTTGGCATCGCTATGCTTGGTGGTGTAACACGAAGCAAGCCGAACGGCCTCCTTAATGTCCGGGTTGATCGGTTCCAGATAGCCGATGAGCGAGAACCTGGGCAGGTTGGCAGCAGAGTAGGGCACCGTGTCTGGAAGCGAGGAGGAAGATGAAACGTCCGACTCGGCTAGAGTCGAGGCTTCGTTGTATTCCTTGTTGCCAAAGTACGGCACGTATGCAGACAGACGAGACAGGAGCGGGATGCGCTTGGCCGGCGGGTACGGCGGTTTCCACTCCACGGCTAGAGTGAGGTTGGACCCGGCACGGACGTTCTTGAAGCTGGTAGCGATCTTGATGGCCAGGAGCGTAGGGTTGCCTTCATCCTCGCAATCTCCGTAATAATCCTGTAGGCCGATTGGAATGCCATCGAGCCCGTCCGGTCGTCTCTCCGCCGCGTCGGCCTCGCTAGAAGACGACGACGATTGGGGGAACACGGTGGACAGAGTGCCGAGCTTCGAGAGGGCCAAAACTCGGCGGCCCATGACTGCCGACTCGTAGCTCGATGGGATTCGCCTCTCACCGGAGCCGTCACCGAAGAGTGGAGCGGTGAGCTCGAGGGCGGCGGCACAGCCGGAGAGACCACCAATGACACCGAGGAACTTCATGGTTACCGATTCTGCAAATGAAAGAAGCAATGATGATTTTTTTGTGTCACCACGAGTCAATCAGTCAGGCAGCAGTTGACGCTGGTAGCAGGCGACGCGGGCGTTCTTTATAGACGGGCCCCCTTGGTCATGCGTTGCAAGGACGTATCCAAGTATCCTGTCAACCAGACTTTACCCGAGGAAAGCCTTTGATAAACGAGCTCAAAAGAAGAGGGAACTACTCTGTAGAAAGTGTGATGTAAGACGCAAGGGGAAGGGGAAGATCCCCTGCTCGGGGGTCAAGTGATTATCGAATGGCGTTTAGCAGGTGACTGAGGCCGAGATTGATAAGATCAGATTGATGGCTGCAATTGGCTACTAACGGGGCTGAGTGGGCTGATTGACCTCATGCGTGAGCGTTTTTGACATCCTCGGGTATATAAACTTCATTGTCAGCTCTCTTACAATAAAAATTCAATAAAAGTGATTGAATACGCGAAAAGACTCATTTAATGATAGTGAGTCAGGGTTTATTTATTTAAAAGTACTTGTATGCAATGCAAACTGACATATCATTTCTCTACGTACAGATGCCTGATGCATGTATATTTCAGACTTGCTCCATTCCCTTGATTCAACCTCTCATGTCCTCGATATACTGTCTTCCATAATCTTTGTACCACTTTGCGAGCTTAGTAACCGGTGACAGCTCAAATGTCTGCACCAACTTGACTGTAGGCATTTCGGGATACGACTTTCTGACCTCGTCTTCTTTCAGCATACCGTCTTCCTTGACATAACTCTCGATATTTGACGAGAATGCGTCGACGTTGTACGACATCCATCCTTGCATTATGAGCTGTTTTGCCTTCTTCCAGGGCCCCATCACGGTGGTCGTCGGCCGAACCTGAGTCTGCAGCCTGGTAATGGTATCTCTGTGCCACTTGTCCATGAAGCTACCGTCAGAAGCATTGGCCATCTCGTGTAGCAGCTGTTCAAGCCGCTCAACCTCTTTGTCATCTTCTATGTCCACATGAGCGAACGACCTGCCCCCAAAGAGCCGGGCTACTGCATGGGGATGCCAGGATTGCCTTTCTGCCAGAAATATGTTCCCCGCCATTAGGTAGATGGTGCGGACGTTCGGAAGGAGGCTACCTTTACCAAACAGCCCGGCTACCAACCGAGGGTCGACATGATCTGCATCCAGCAAGATGGCTCTAGTCTCTTCGAGGAGCTTCGTCTGCAGAGGAATAAACCCATCTTTGGGTATGCGATACGGGGAAAGATCCAGTATATCTTTGTGTCTGTTGAACCATGTCCAGGACATGGGAGCGAGAAACTCATGACAATACAGGGCACCATGCCTATGTGCGACATATCGAGCCTCCCGACAGACATGAGATATGGGCGGTGGGGTAACACTTGTCCATTCCAGGAACGAAGGCTGAAGGTAACGGAAAGGCCGAAAAATCTGTACAGGCAAAGCCAGTTCCCATATTTGGCATCTTAGCTCTGGGGGTAGGCGAGAGAAGTAGGGAAACTCGGCTACGCTTCCATTGTGTGACTTGAGTTGGCGTTCAAGTTCTGTGATGCGATGTTCTTGAAGAAGCTGGACTCGCTGCAGCCTTTCTATCACGTGCTGTATTTCTTCAATACTCTTCAATGTGGGAATTTGCGAATTGTACACGCTTGGTTGTATGTGGGTTGCGGTGTATGCTTCATCCACGCAGTATTGTGCATCCATGCTGACTATGGAGAAAGCTTCGAGTTTGGATACAACCTCATGCATATTTCAAAACAATAATAACTTGGACCTTTGTATGGAAGATTGAAACGAGAAACTGTTACAGAAACTTGTGGCTGCCATGATGAGGATGAAGGGATCTTTATGTAGGTTCTGTCGACGGTGAATGGCTGTTGGCAAGTCCATACATCTATGGGGTGAGATGAAGGAATACATTGGGATCAAAGCTGGTCTTTCAGCAGTATTTATTGTTAGCTGAAGAGATTTGACACTTTATCATTTATCTCGTGATCAATTGCCTTCCACGCTTTGTTGTGATAGCTGATCACAATTTCTTTGACAATTCTTGATCTGGAGTAGTTTATACGGCCCAGATGAACATAAAGAGGACGTCATTGGACTCACAATCTAAAAGATGGTTATAAATCGATGAAATACGTTTCAACTGAGAGGGGGAGAACCCATCGCCATTCATGATGTAGAGAGTTTGTACGGAGTAGGGCAAACCATGACAAAAGCTCTCAGCAGCAGCTACTCCGTAGAACTCTCACATCTTCCATTGCCAGATCATATAATGACCGAGAGAATCCTTTCCCGCGCTGTAAGAGTACACATCTTCCATGGACAATCTTCATATGAGTATGTGGGGGTTGACCTACTTGTTTGTTTGTTTTTCCTTTTGTTGACGACATTTTCCCCACGGCCCTTAAGCCACTCTTCCCCACCCCTTTGACTCTGGAACACAAAGCAATGGCAGATTCCACTCAGCTTGGACTGTCATACAGCTAGCACGAGTACTCGGGATGTGGCATTGTTTATCCCCCCCTCCTCCCTTGTGTCATGTCATTTAGTATTGGATGCCACATGTTGTCATGGAAATGAGCCCTTCAGCTCAGACAATCCATACACGCTAATCCATATGCAGATTCAAGAGCAATCTACAGTCAAAGCCTTTGAAATTTGCAAAAATCTGCAAGGAATCCAGATCGAGACGCTGGATGTGCAGGGCCATCGGACATCCGGTTGGCTGTCCCGCACGCTGGATGCACGCACTGCAGCGCCGAAATTTGATGCTGAGGAGGACCTGAAACTGGCGAAGCATGTTTGAAGCTGAGATTCCGATCCCCGCTGCTGAGGTCATCGCTTGCCGCCCCCAAAAAGGCCGCCACCAGCCCAGCTTTCCGTAGCGGGTGCCACAGGGCGCTACAGGGCACAAATCACCGTTCAGCACTGCACTCAACGCTACCGGTGGCCCAGTGCTAGCACCCGATAGCGCTGGCCAGCTGCTGTCCACAGTGGGCATCGCACCGCCCCACCCCGCGATAATGCTTGTTGCTGCTGCAACCATGTTGACTTTGAGATCCTCCCCAGGCCTGCGGATCCAAGGCAGTCCAATCACAGCAACATCCCACTTACCCAAAAAGCTCCCCCATGCCACTTTTGCATAATGTTACCTTGATCGATCAAGAGGCTCGCAAATCAAAATCCATTGTTTCCAGCCCGTTTGATACAGCGAGCCGTGAGGAAAAAGTAAGACGGCGATACCAGGACGGTAAGCTTTTGCTTTGGGTTTGCTTTGTTTTCTTGTCTTGTCCCCGCCCTTGCGTTTGTTTGTTTTCTCTTGACCCTGCAGCTAGCCAGCTCTTCTTCTTCTTCTTCTCTTTCTTTGCTGCCCACAGTATCATCACTTCTCTAACATCTTTGCGCCTCTAGCGGCCAGACTGATCTCATCTTGAATCATTGTTCTGGTTGTTCCAACCCCCCCCGGCGTCTTCTCCACCTCGCTCATCAAAGTATTGACCAGTTGGACGCCTCCAAGAGACAAAGAACGACGAGAGGGGATCCGCAAACGCACATACACCCATACCTGATCACACATACCGCTAGCAATAGTATACATACGCAGAAGCAGATATCCTCCGCCGCAGACGCCCATCAGCCAATCGATTCGGCGGCAGCCTCTATCGTTGTTATCCCCCTGGTCAACCGTCCCTCTCCACCGCCGCCACGTCACGCCTTGCAGCGGGTTAGAAAAAAAAAAATATGGCCAGCTTCATGTCGAGTTTCTTCCCCGGCGGCAGCAGCATCAGCAGCAGCAGCAAGGACAAGCCGCCGCTGGCTGGTGACGCCGCGCCTCGCCCCGTCACCCCAACCATGAACAACATCAACAGCTTCATCAACCCTCTCAACACGCCGCTGGGAAGCCCCAGCAAGAAGACGATCCCGCCTGGCGCCCACGACCTCCCCACAGTTTTCGACACCGCTATGAACCTGAATTCCCCCGGCGTCGAAACTCCCATCAGGCTGACGCGCCCGCAAAGCGTAGTCGCTCCGCTTTCGCCTGGCAAGGCCAGCACCACCACCCAGCCTCCCCCTCAGCCTCACGTACAGCCCCTGGGCAAGCAGCCTATCGAGGAGCTCAGCGCTGCGGTTCAAGAAGCTGTACAAAGCGCAACAAAGGGCAGAGCATCACCGGGCACTGGCAGAGCGTCTCCTGGTACTGGCAGAGCATCGCCTGGCACTCCCCGGCGGCGACAACAGCATCAGGACAATGCGCCCGTGCCCCGTCTCGCTGCTCACGACCAGGACCGCCAACCCCACCACAGCCATGCGGCGCTCTCTCGCCAGCAGGCATACGAGACAAAGGACCGTCCCATCATCGCGAAGAGATTTAACACCGTTCGCGGTTTGACGGATGAGGAGCGTGAGATTCTCCAGAGACCCAATGTTCGCCGAATGGTCAATGTAACGCAGCTATGTAAGTCTTTGTCCTGTGTAAACGTGTGGAGGGGAGCTGGGAGTCGAATCCTTTAACTCTAGATGTTGCATTGCTGCCGACCAACCGATTGACTGACCGAATTCCCTCTCTGTTCACAGATTTTCTCGATTATTACTTTGACCTTCTCACATATGTCGGCGCGAGACAAAAGAGGCTGGCCGCCTTCAAGGCTGAGTTCCCAGAGCCCCCCGAGACGGACGACGAAACTCATGGGCTTATGTGGTCCAAGTATACCGGCCGAGAGCGAGCTAACCTTCGAAAGCGTCGGATCCGACTAAGACAGGGCGACTTCCAGATCCTCACCCAGGTTGGCCAGGGCGGTTACGGCCAAGTGTTCCTGGCACAGAAAAAGGACACGCGGGAAGTGTGCGCCCTCAAGGTCATGAGCAAGAAGCTGCTCTTCAAGCTGGACGAAGTTCGACACGTTCTCACAGAACGCGATATTCTAACAACAGCCCAGAGCGACTGGCTTGTTCGGCTCCTGTATTCGTTTCAGGATGACAAAAACATATACCTTGCCATGGAGTACGTGCCTGGTGGCGATTTCCGCACCCTTCTCAACAACACTGGGGTGCTGTCTAACCGACATGCCCGCTTCTACATCGCCGAAATGTTCTGCTCTGTCGATGCCCTCCATAAGCTCGGCTACATCCATCGAGATCTGAAGCCGGAGAATTTCCTCGTCGACTCTACTGGCCACGTCAAGCTTACCGACTTTGGTCTTGCTGCTGGCGTTCTAGCTCCATCAAAGATTGAATCTATGCGACTCAAGTTGGAACGGGCCTCGGAGACTCCTGTACCGTTTGGCAAGCCAATTGGGCAGCGAACCGTGGCCGAGCGTCGAGAGGGCTATCGAACCATGCGCGAGAGCGATGTCAATTACGCAAAGTCTATTGTCGGCTCGCCCGACTACATGGCACCAGAAGTCCTCAGAGGGGAAGAGTATGATTACACTGTAGATTACTGGAGTTTGGGCTGCATGCTGTTTGAGGCACTCACTGGCTTTCCGCCATTCGCTGGCGCTACTCCCGACGAGACATGGCGGAATCTGAAGCACTGGAAAGAGGTTCTCAAGAGGCCTGTCTGGGAAGACCCCAACTACTTTTTGAGCAACCGGACTTGGAGTTTCATAACAACGTGAGTGAAAACGGCCCCCACCCTTCCATATCCTGCCTTGGTCTCTGAACTAACACAGAAAAAAGATGCATCAATTCACGGGCCAAGCGTTTTTCCAACATTAAGGATATCTACGAACATCAGTACTTTTCCGAAGTGGATTGGGACACACTGCGGCAGACGCGGGCACCGTTTGTCCCGGAGCTGGACTCGGAGACAGACGCCGGCTACTTTGACGATTTCGGCAACGACGCCGACATGGCCAAGTACAAGGAGGTGCACGACAAACAGGCCGCGCTGGAGAACATGGCCGAGCGTGAGGAAGAGATGAGCAAGAGCCTCTTCGTCGGCTTCACGTTCCGGCACCGCAAGCCGGCCACGGAAGACGGCGTCCCCCGGAAGCGCATCCCGACGGACGAGTCGTTTGGGACCATGTTTTAGAGCAAACCAATGGGATACGAGTGGTGCTATCACAGGGCTGCATTCCGCCGGACGAGGTTTTGTTGACTTTTTTGGCCTTTGCTCTCGGACTTTTTTTGAACTTTATTTTGCACTACTGCATCTGGTTTTTTTTCTCCTTAATCATGTCTATTTTTCCCGCCACTTTGTTTATTTGCCTTGTCCTCTCTGGGATTTCCCATTCTCTTCCTTTCTTTTTCTGGTTACGATACCCCAACGTGTCGACCATTGGCATCAAAAACCTCATGCTACTACTACTCGTTTAATGTGCTACTAGCCATTTCTTTTTTTTATCCTTTGTTGTGTTCTTTTTTTATATGGATTTGGAGTTTGCAGAGAAATGGATTATCGACCAAAAACTAAAAAGACGCGCGGGTTGGTGTGAGTCTGGCTCTTCTCATGGTATAAAGGACGGCATGCAAGGGGGGGACTGCCAGGTTGGCCGGGCTGGCATTGGGATTCCGGGGCGGAATTGATGCATTCATGTAGGAGTAACGAGCACGAGTATATGGTACACAGGTAGACAATCGAATGTATGACTTTTGCATGAATGTGTCAGTGTCAGTGTCAGTGTTTTGTGATTATGATACTTGTTAGCGTCTTCATATGGTGAACAAGACAGTTTTCCAAAACAGGAATTTATTGTAAAGTCTGTCACTGCAGAAATACTTCCCATCGATACTATCAAGCGTCTTCTTAACTGTAAAGCGTGCAATCAACAAACTCCTCCCATCATTGCCCAGTCATTCAAAAAACAGGGGGGGAGTGCCCAGATCATATATGGAAAAAAAAACAAAAAAAAAAAAACGGGAATCCTTGCGCCGCAGCCAATCTCCGTCAAGTAGAAAGCCTTTCCCATCGAGTGAGTTCTCTCGTAACATGAAAAGTAGAGACAAAGGAAAAGGTGGATATCCCTCATTCAAACGTTGAAAATAGACCGGATAAACGACAATAAGAGAAAAGGAAGAAGAAGAAGGGAAAAAAAAAAAAAGCAGACTTGTTCCTCCCCGGGGCGTTGATTGAGAAGCAAATTGAAGGCGCCCCCCAAACTATCCCAAAATTAATCTATCAAGTCATTCATCCGACGACAGAGAGGCGAAAAATGTGCGGTGGATGTATCAACCATGCTTCCATCTTGGCCATATGGATGTATTTTGCTTTATCGGGCCTAATGTGATTTATTATGTAGACGTCGAATCGAGGGAGTTTGAGTCGCCGTCGAGGCGCAAGAAGCCACCCTCGGTCGTTTCTCGGTGGACGCTTGCTTTTCGCCATGGTTGCGGATATCAAACCAAAAACACTCCAATGAATTTCTCCACCCAAATTTCCCGGAACAAAATCATCAGACTGTGAGAAACAGTCGTGCTAACAAATAAAAATTCAGACCCAGGTATCATTGCTTGAACCATCGCGCCGTGGAGATGCCCATTCTTTTGCGCCCAATTTCCTACAATACCGCCCTAGACTCATTTGCAAGTAACGCAAACCACCAGTATTAAAAGCCTGCTCTTTCTTATAGCCTTCCAAGAGTTGGATTGATGTTTTTTGAATTTTCATATGGCAGAGAAATCAACCAGTGGTTTCATGCCATTTATTTCGTTTCAGTATTAAAAAATCAAAAGTTGAAATCCAGTGGCCTTTAAAGACTCATTGTCAGCCACTCCCATTCCTGAGGGCCTGATGAGCCGCCGGCGCTGTTGACCAGGTTGGATTGGGCACCGCCCAAAGACACCATGCTTGATCCCATCATGGAGCGTTGGCCCATGGCGAAGTTATTATTCGACATCATGGCACTGGAGATGGAAGGCATGCTGGGGGTCGTGCCGAGTTGCCGCACAACTGGTTCTGCAGGACCGTCAATGTCCATGGCCGATAATGAGGTACCCTCGCTCTTGCTGTGCCTGCGCTGCCTCTTGGATGGCGCCGTGGCCGGCCGGGATGCGGACGATGAAGCTCCAGCTCCAGGTCCTGGCGTTGTTTTCATCGGCGCAGCAGCGATTGGCACAACACCTTTACCACCCACTATGGTGGCCCCTCCATACTGGCTACCCGGCGTGCTGCCTGCGGTGTGCTGTCCGCTGCTACTGGGGCTGTCGCCATCCCTGTTGCTGCTGGGTCGATTTGCCGATGGCGGCGTTGTCACAACTTGGCTATTTGTCACAGGAGCAGCGGCAGCGGCGGCGGCGGCAGCGGCAGCGGCAGACATGGACAGCGTAGAGTTCTTCCTCGAGGCGGCATTGGAGCCAGTGCCATTCTTTTTCCGCGATCCTCCGACGGGAAGATTGGCGCCAGACCCTCTGTTTCGCTTCTTGATGACGTCTGTCTTCAAGCTCAGAGGACGCACGACACCGTGGAGCTTTAGGAAGAGGCCACAGGCATTGCAGAGAGGCTGACCCTCGGGATTTCGTCTCCACAGCGGAGTCGTCTGGGTGAAGCAGTTGGTGCAAGTGGTGGGAGTGCTGCTCTCGCCGGGATTACCACTACCCGCATGCAGATTGGTCGAGGAGCCATGCTTGGAGCTTGGGGGCGGTGAAGTTGGCCTGCTTGGCGCAACTGACGAGAAGCCCGAAGCGGTTCCCGGAGCGTGGCCGCCCGGAGAGCTGGGGAGCGACTGGGCAATCTGCTCGAAGCCGCTGTGCTTGGTCGCCATGTGCGAGGGTGTTGATGAGTTGCGAGGGAGTCTGTTCTGTCGCTTGTCGTTGCCCATACCAAGCGACTGCGAGTGTGATCGGCTCAGGTTGTTGCCGTCCCAGTCACCACTGGTGTCGACGTAATCAGTTGTGATGCCGCCGATCTGAACTTGCTTGCGAGTCGGGCCGCCGGGAAAGCGAGCAGCTTGCGTGCTGAACTGGCCTGGGAGCGAGGCATCCCAGCCAAAAGACCCCGCCTCGTCGACGGCAGACGTAAAGTCGCCGTGGAGGCCAACGCCGCCGCGGTCCAAGAAGGCATTGCCATCATCTTCATCAGACTCGCCTCCGAAACCAAGCATGTTTCCTTGCTGCATTGGCAGAACAGGAGATGCGACCTGCGAATCTGTCTGGAAAACTTGGCTTGGGTCGATGTGCGCAAAGGAGCTTGGGCCGGTGCTGTACGCTGGCACTGCTTCTGAGCTTGAAGTTGTGGCGGGGAAGACGGCGCCGTTGCTGTTGGGGTTGGCACTGCTGCCACGCGCGGCATCATACAAGAACGGGTGGTTCATGTGATGGTTGATGTTGGAAGAGCTCTGTCGGAAGCCCTGCGCACGGTGGTGCTGGTGGTGGTGCTGCATATCCTGGGAGCCAAAGTAGACGCCCTCACTGTCGGGCATGGGAGTAGATGTTGCCGACGGATAGCCCGAACCGGTTGGAGAGTAAAAATCGGGGTTGTTAAGAGAGGATTGTAGCCCGGCGTTGCTGTACATGGATTGAAAGGGTCCATTTTGCATCATGGGAGAGGTGGAAGGGGAGAAGGAGAAGTTGGATTGGAAGTGGTGGCTGGAGCCAAGAGGGTCATTGTCCATAAAGGCATCCAAATTAAAGGCCGAGCTTTGGTTGTTGGCCATTTGGTGCTGCATGGGCATTGCGTTGGAGTTGTCGAGAGAGTATCCATTGAGCTCAGAGTCGGCCTCCAAGTCGAGGTTTAGGCCTGATGAGCTAGTGTTGATGGCACTCACATGTGGAGAGAAGTTGGCAGGCCGTTTCCTCGTCTTTTGTTCCATTGTTAGCGGCGGGCACGTCAAGAAGGGAGAGGGGCGTGTATAAGGGATATCTCGTAACAAGTCTGGATTGGGAGAGAAGATGGACGGCCGCATGCTAGAAAAGGGAAAGGATGTGTGCTCTTTAGGGAAAGGATGTGGCCATTATGGAAAGGGAAAAAAAAGCAAAGGGGATTAAGGTGGGAGAAAGAAAGCAACTGCAACTGAAAGCGCGCCAAACAAAACCCCAAAAAAGGTACATGTTACAAGGCGTCCCAGAAAGCTTGTTCTCCTGGGCGTTGGGTGGGTTATAGTTTTTCCTATTGAAATTGACTCACCCGGCGGTCGTCTATACTCGTCTTCCTGTCATGTCGAGGGACGTAATGAAATTCATCATTGTGCCCCCGCTGGTGAGGTGGCGGCACAGGGACGGACTGCGCTACGAACTGATTGGTAGAACCCTTGCGGCCCTTGATGGGGATTGCCGAAGCCAGCGGCTTGGATGATTTGCTGGTCTTGATGGCGGCGGTCTGGGGACCGGAGAGAGACGATGCAGGAGGCTGCGGTGAGGTGTCGTTGATGGAAGCTCCTCCCTCTTCGGCGAAAATGAAGTCGTCAATGTTCATGGCATCCATGCCCTGAGCATGGATATCGGATGTCTTTCGCAGCTGCTGGGCAATGCCGCTGGGAGTGTTTTGTGGTTGAGTTGGCTGGGAGAGAGATCTGCGATTCGAGGAAAAAGGAAAAGAGAAAATATGTCAGCCAGTGCCGGGATGATGTGATGAAGAGCGAACCCGCTCCGCTCCCCCCAAAGGAGAAGCCAAGCCATATCTAGCCTGTTAAACGACATCGATGCAAGAAACGACAGACCAATCAAATGGACATGGCAGGGCATGAGACGGGATGACAGAAAAATATAATAATACCTGTTGTGCGTCTTCTGCTGCTGCTGCTGCTGCTCCCGCTGCTGCTGCTGCTGACGCCTGCGCAGGTTCAGAGCCATCATGCGCCACGTCAAGTTCTCCATTCGCTGCTGGTTCGGCAGCTGCTGCTTGGTCCTGGTGAAAAACTTCCAGATCTGGGCGGCTAGCGGATCTTCGCTCTGCATCTTCTCGAAGTCGTCGTCCTGTTCGGACGAGCTCGCCTCCACCTTTTGGAACCCGTCAAACAGGGCGGCGTTGAGGATGTTGTTTTTTGACGACGAGGCTGGCTGCCCGCTCGTCATAGCAGCGGCGGCGGCGGCATTGCCGTTGGTGAGTGCGACATGGCCGTCTTGCGAATCCATGCGGGCGAAAATGCGGTCGGTACTTCGATGGGGATCGGGTCTTCGCGGAAAGCGGTAATCGTGTTCTGTGACGGTCGGGTGCATCGCAATCGGGCTGACAACTGCCATGGACTGCGGGATTGCTATTGAGAGCGACGCTTGGAAGACAGACTGGGCGGCCGCAATAGGCGCGGCGATTCTGAGTACGTAAGTTGAAAGGTAGGTATATGTAGGATGATGCGAATCCGAGCCGAGTGGAGGGGTGACAAGAGAGGATTAAAGAAAAAAAAAGGAACGACCCCTGTATAGTCTTGCTTGAATGGCGGCTGGCCTGTGACAGGCGAAAGTAGAGAGGGAAGGGGAAAAAAAGCTGGCGACAGGCTGCTTGTATGAGTGAATTGGGAAAACGGCCGCACTCTGGCCGGGCGGGTCCGTCTGGTCAATCAACGAGCAGGCACAGCTTGCGTTGCGGTTGTCTGTTCAGCAAGGACGAGCACAGGACCGAGCATGTACTAAGACTGTTAAGTACGAGTACGGGTGCAGCTTCACCGTCAGCAGTGCGTTAGTTGAGGTAGGACTGGACGGCCGAAAAGAGGGCCCTCGGTGTGGACTCAGATCGAGTGAAGCGCTGGCTGCCCTTGTCTTAAGAGTATGTCTGAGGGAGAGTCGAGATGCGGCTTTGCTGTGCTGTGCGAAAGCGGCGGCCGTTGTTTTTGTTTTGCTTGGTTTCAAATTCACCGTTGAGTGAGATGCGGGAAATAGAGAGAGCGACAGAGTCACAGAGAGGGCCATCCAGAGCGTGATGCTCCGATTCTAGGTAATTAGCAGCAGATGGTTAGAAGCAAAAATGGAGCCGTGAAGATGGAGACTGACCGATAATACTCCCGTCCCCGTACCTGCCGCGCTTTCTCATGATTACAGACCAATGCCTGCAGCGCCGTCTACTTGGAGGCGAGGTAGAGGTACTGCTGCGACGCTCGACGGGGAGGAGGAATGATGGCTTGGTCGGCAGCGTGGCCAAGTATCCATACTTGGCATTGGAGTACCGGATATTGACATGGAAGGACCCTCGTGGCTCAGAGCCGTCGGGTCCCACCAAAAGTACGGAACTTGTACTTGTTTGTACCCAACTTACTGAGTGCAAGGTACCCAAACTTCTTCATTGCCGTATAACATTCAAGTTATTGTTATACCTGCTACTGTATATGGCCTGAGGCTTCTTGAAAATATTGATGCTTAACTCCTAAGCAATGGTATAATTGTATCTTCTACTTTCCGGTCGTTCATAATGCAAAAAAAGCTCGCATACGAGTATGTCACGAAGAAAAAAAAAAGTACTTGCAAGTGCTAGCGACACTGCCAAGCTGAACCCTCAAGGGTACTGCAGACAAGTGCCTCTTGTACCGAGAACGGAGTCGCGCTTGCTGCTAAATGGGCCCCACCGGGCAGCCCCACCATCCCGAACCCTGAGACATTCCGTTCGTGGTAGTGCACGGCGGCGGTTTTGCTGTACTTGTACTTTACTTTACGCAGCAGATGACTGTCTGGTAGCAGCTCATTGTCGTATACGCTCAGTTGAGGCAGCGATCTAGATGCGGCCATGACGGCGTGATCAGCGCGATCAGGAGAGCTCAGCAAATCACACTCCGGCCCAACAACGAACAGAGCGCAAAACAAGGGTTGGCCCGAGGTGCTATTGCAGAGCGGGGGAAGAACAGGATTTCCCTGCCTTGCTTCAAGTCGATCGGATGTGCTTGTACTCCGTAGTCGGCAATTGCTGGGCCTCTGCAGAAGTTGGCAGCAGCCGAGCACATACACAACAAGTACTGCCATGCTGCCGAAGAAACCAAGAATCGTCAATGTACACTCTCGTACATGGTACCGTGACGCTAGCATGTGCTTCTGCTTTGCAGCAACCCATCCATTTGCAGAAACAGACGCTCGGCCCCACGATGCGCAACAACGGCCGTGTCTCCCGTTCCGACTCGCTCATGACGAGAGCATCACCACGATACATTGGGTACCATTCAAAACAGGGTTTCACTCACGATGGAGGCGGGCATGCAACGGGTGTCGAGGGGACCGCACCCTAGTCCGTCTTCTGCGCTGCCTTGTGGGGGCCTGGGCGTGGGGGAGGCAAAGAAAATAAATGAAATACCAATACTATTAATTACTGCTATTAGTAGTACAGAAACTCGAGACCCGAGACTCGTGTGCGTCAAGAACGAGCAAGGCACGGTGGGTATCCGAGCGAGCTGAAGTGCTAATAAGAGAAGGATATTACTACTGCTCGTAGACTCGGAGTAATACTCGTGCTCCATTGCTGGATAGTCCCCATACTGCTCGATAGTGCCTTGCTAAATCCCATCGCATCAACGGGAATAAAGCCACTGTCAACGGAATATCTACAGCTAGCACCAAGTAGCTTACGCACGACTCCGTTGACCAGAGGGCCCTCGTACAGAAATACTCCGTAAGTACCAGCTGCCCCCTTGGCGAGCGTGGGAAGACATTACATTCGGTTGATGGGATGAAATGAGGGACACCGAGCCATCAGTCATGGCTATTAGTAGCAGTATGACTGCTCTATTATTCAATCCATGACAGTTTTGGGAGCAGCCATCAGCATCAGCCCGTAGCGCGACTCTTGTGGCCACCACACGCACTCTTTTGTTCTCGGTACGCGCAGTCCCGGGGCATTCCCGCATGCAAGCCAGGTCGACTATACGAGTAGTCCCAGCCCAAGCCTGAATCGAGTCTGACCCAGGCGGCTTCTGCCACAACTGGAAGTATTGCCATGCGCCCCCAACGCTCAATGGCCCTGTGGCGTCCTCGCGAGGCCGAACAAACGACTCGCAGCAGTTGTATACGAGCGAGTAAACTGTAGTGGTACCAGCAAAAGCCGCCGAGCAGCCGCGGTCTGCGTCTGTACTCGTGCAGTAACCAGCTTTTGACGCAGCAGCAGCCGTGGTCCGCTGTTGGTTCTTATCTGCTAGTGGCAAGCTTTATCTCGCTGACCACTTTCTCTGACATGTGCTTGTGGGACTGTCTCCAAGCCCCTCCAGCCCCTCAGATCTCGTCTCGTCTCGACTGCCTCTCTTTCTGCTCTCGCGTCACTCACACGCTGCTTTTCTCTCGTCAATGCCCCAAAACAGCTCCAACAAGCTCCCCCTCCTTGCCCTCCTTGTCCTCCTCCCTCCTCACCCCTCCATCTGCATGGCCTCGTTTCTCCCCCTCCCTTGCAGCTCTCGCTCGCGGCTTGTCGAGCCTCTTTTTTCCCCGAGTCTCTCCCTCTGCCTACCAACTACCTTGGAGTGCCCCCACCCGTGGCTGGCAAACAGGCCATGGCTGCTTGAGCCGGTTCGTTCTCGTGCATCGGAAGCGCCAGGCCAGCCCTTGTGCATCGACCAGGGCCGCTCAGTCCGGCAAAAAGGCTGCAGAGGCACCAATCATGGCTTCGCGGCGCCGCCATTGGAGGAACATGGCCGGTGCTAGCTGAGAGAGGCAAGCCGTCGGTACATGGACCACGGGCGCCGGTGCAGCAAACACAAGTCATTTCTTGATTGAATCCACAGGCAGACATGACGCTGAAAACTGGACTGAGTGCTACCCTGCGCTCCCACGTTCTATCGAGCAGCTAACCAGCCCGTGAGCAGGGTGCTCGGGCGGGCGGGCTTTAGCCATTGCGGGCCAGTTCCAAGCAAGCAAGCAAGGGAGACGGGGAGAGAGAGAGCCAGAAACACCAAACACGACGAAGTTCGTATACTGCAAGCATACTGCACTCGCTCGTTCAGTCCAGCACAGTACGCGTACATGTACCGATGAGCTCTCTCTCCCACTCTGCGGTACTCGCGGTACTCGCAACAGGCTATATTTCGTGCATTTGCCCGCTCCCCCGTACGCGAACAAGGACGAGGGTTGCCGAACGCAAGAGCCATCTTTTTACGGACCACTCTCGCCTCGGGACCTTAACCCCGAAGACGACACCCATTCTTACCCGGCTCGCTCTTCCGCGATCCCTCGTGCCTCTCTATTTTTACCCTGTTGGCACGGCGGCTCACCGATTTAGGCTCATTAAAGCATCCTGCGAGTGGCGTTCCTGCCGGAGTACCCCCACCCGGGCCAAGGACGCAAAAAGGCTGCCTGCATTTTGCTCGATTGGCCGGCCAGTTGCATGTTGCAGGTTGCGTGTTGCATGACAGTCGTCATAATACATGGCCAATAAACATCACCAGACCCAGCTCGTCGCTAGATGGCCCGGCCACCGGATACAGGTACGATCTGGGAGGCTGCATTGAAATCATGTCCGGGCTATTCCTGTGTAACGTCCTCTTGCCATTTTCTGTACAACACTCCGCTCGAGTCGACAGCCTTGGCGAAAGTCCGCGTGGCGAAGATGAGCGCCGCTTGTATGTACAAGTAGTATTCTAGTACAGTAGCTGATGCTGCTCAGCTTGCTCATGCTTACTACAGCTCTCACCTGATGGCCTTTGCCGTCTCAGTCTGGTATAGAGGCGAACATCATCACCCAGAGGCCGGCTATTCTCCAGCTGGGTTGGCAACGATTGACGGGCGTCGGTTGGGCCAGCTTTTAGCGATGCACGCACGTTCCAGCCGCAACTTAATACAAAAGGTACTAAACCAACTCCGTATCGTCAAGTATTAGGGCCGATATATCCTGGCTAGCCCTCCAATTCCAGGCGTCAATATGTCTCTCTCTCTTGTCTCAAGGTCCAAATTGTTGCGCGGGTATTGGACCCTGCATGCATATCGGCATCGCTCCAGATGAGGCCAGATGTTTCATCTCCGTTGGTACGGCTGTGGAAAATTTGCACACTGCCTGTCTCAGCCTTCTCCTAGTGTCCGCGTTCGTGTCTCCGTCCTACATTGATTGTTTATTGCCATTATACTTCCAGCCCGCAAGCCAAACCGCCTCGGCAACCCGGGTTTCTGGATTGCACGCTTTGAGGCTGTCAATGGACGCCACAGAAAACAATACTTCAAGCCCCTCTGGCTTGCAGCTGAGCCAAAAGGAACCGACTAGATCAAATATTTGGTCAGCCGGGCCATAGTCAAGCGCCACCGGCAAGATCTAGGCTGTTGGACGGGGACAGCACTGAGGCTTGGGATAAACAATCCCAAGTTGTCTTTTCTCTCGATGTAGTTTTTTTTTTTTTTCTCTCTCTCCCGTGAGTGGGCTGTAGGGCCTATCGATAATCTCGCTTTGCCGCAATGCATTTCAATCTATTGTTGCACTCGGTATGATCTGCCGAGGCATTCAACGGAAGCAGACGTTCCGTCTTATTTTTGAACAAAAACGGTTGATTGACAGGCGGAAGCGTCAAAAGCTGTCGGCAGTTGTCCGCCACAACATTTAGCCGCTGGCCGTCGCACAAGCCTGAAGGCTCTAGTTTTCCGACTTGTGTATCTGATCCTGGCGTCTTGACTAAAGTCACACGAGTTCTAGATTGAGTTCCAGACCAAGTGGTCTATCAAACGATTGGCTTGTTTGGAGACGTGGCTATTTACATTGAGCCTCCTCGGCGGAATTGGTTTCGGATATATGGAAGGCTGCTTGCTCAACGCCGTTGATTAACAGCTTTGCGTACGTACGCCCGACTGTCGTTTGACTGTCGTCTGTTGACCTATTTCTCGGTCGAAAGATTCCAAGCCTCCCGGACGATACCTTGGTGATGTTCGTGAACAGCGGATGATAGGCATGCAGCTGTGATCCCTCAAGCTCGGGTTTCCTGTGAGTAAAGGACTCCGTGCGAAAGCCTGTGTATTTTGCAAGCTTACGCGGATGTAGTGTTTTAGTAATGCTGTTTCATCTTGATATCATAGGCTATCGGCTCGGAGCGGATTCTCTGGAGTGAATGTCTATACTTCGATAGTCTTGTTGTCCCGCGACCTGTCAGTCAACGCCATGTAATTGGCAATCACTCGTAACAATCGATCACTGCTCTTTTCTCAGCCTATAGCGGACTCTGAAGTGGTTACTTAACAATTCGCTGGCTTTACCCACATCGAGTCGATCATTGCTGCTTCTGTGGGTGGAGATGACATTTGCTTCTGTTGCGTCAATGAGCAAACAAACTCGGTGGCATTCCTTTGTCGTCTGAGCGTTGCTTCAGATATGCTCTCCCAAGGGCCAGAGAAGGATCTGTGAAAGAAGGGAATCAAGAAGCACGATACATGGTTGAAAACGAAAGAGAAGAGTGTAGTTTTCCAGTGCACGCAACGATTATTTATTACCCATGAGGTCGCCCAGCCTTACTCGCCGCTCAAGCCGCTTCCCTCTTATCCAACTGGGAAATCTCTCTCATTATGAGAGGCTTTTGGCGGATTGCAGTAGCGACGCTACATTTGATAATGGCGGCTGATGGGGCAGTTGCACGACATCTTCAACACCAGCTTCCAGGTCCCCAGGTCGGCAGAGATGTTTCGCGGCCGCCGGCAATTCCACTGCGTTTGACAAACACGGCGCCGGGGAAACCAATCAAGCCCGGCACGGAACTCCGTATACTTGCCGTGGGAGATTCAATAACCTACGGGTTTCTGAGTGACCAAAACGGCGGCGATGGAAATGGATACAGGCTGCGGGTTCGGCAGTACCTTTCGAGTAAGACAGGGAGCTAAAGCTGAAACCCATTGGCTGTGTCTTGTTGCTAATACGCCGAGTGCAGAAGACAAGGTTGTGTATGCAGGAACAGAGACATCACCAACCGGTAACATGACGGATGGCTATTTTGTATGTACACGAGGTTGATGTGTGGTCGAATCACTGGCTAATCAATCCTCGCATCAACGCTAGGCTGCTTGGAACGGCAAGACAATCCAGTATATCGCAGATCACGTTGGTCCATCACTCGAACAGCGCCCAAACATCATTCTACTCCATGCCGGGACAAACGACATGAACCCCAACAGCGCCATTTCCACAGAAGGCCACGATCCAGTAGCCGCGTCCGAGCGGCTCGGGAGCCTGATTGACAAGATGACTACGGCATGTCCCGACGCAGTTGTCCTCGTCGCCATGATCATCGGAACCTGTAATGCCGAACAATCTCCGCAGACAAAGGTGTTTCAGTCGTTGGTTCCCAAAGTGGTGGCGCCCAGGGTCCAGGCTGGCAAACATGTCTTGGCGGTGGACTTTTCGACGTTTGGGCTCGGCAACCTGAGGGACTGCATACACCCGACCAATCAAGGATATCAGCTGGTCGGGTACTATTGGTATGATTTTATCGCACAGATTCCGCAGGATTGGATCACGGCGCCGGTAGGGAAGGATCCCAAGAGAGAGGAGAGTTCGTCTTGGCGATTGCGAGCGAATGCATCTCGGCTAGGAGTTTTGGGTCTATCATTTGTGTTGATGCATGCCTAAAGGCGACTTGTATCTTGATCTTGGTCTGTTTTCACTTTCCTTTTGTCGAGGGGCTTTTGGATATAGAGGATCATATAGACATGTGAAATTTTCGAAGTATAGAGCCTGCTGCCATGGTCCAGATATTGATATTCGGGGAAATGAGCATCACCAATCCGCGAATGTTGAAAAGATCATCCATCCATCAGATTTTGTATATGATGAATACATATAAAATCCTGGAGCATACTGGAAGTTTTGACTCCTGGGCTTTTATCGTAGGTATGTTGAAGTCCGAGATGTTGCTTGTACTCTGGTATCGCCAAGTACCGGGCTGTTAGTCATCAGCAAGCTCCCTCGGCCCCGCCATGACCTCCAAAAAAAGCAGTTTGACGTCCCCTAACTTGGAAAGATACAAACCATTTACAACCCAGCAAAAACAACGACGTCTCGTTCAACGGATTCAACGACACCAATCGCCAATTGTTGCCACTGCATATACAGCAAGCTAAAGGGAAGCTTCAAAAGAATTATCCAGCTACATCTCAGCAATCATCACGACTTTTGCGACAAGAAGAGACAGCAACTCAGTTGAACAAGCTCTAAGCTGCGACTTCGCCAAGCATGCCAAAAGAGAAAAACTACAACCCGGTGCAAGCCCAGCGCAAGGCTGACAAGGCTCGCGAAGTCAGAAAAGGTAAGCACTCACCTATCTTCATCTTGGAGGAGAAAAGAGAAAGAAAGTCGTCTAACAAGCAATTTGCGCCTCGTCTGCAGGAAAGGCCGAAGCGCAAGGCCGCCGGAATGAAAAGCTCGCGCGCAAGAACCCAGACCGAATCCAAAAGCAAATCGATGACCTCAAGGCCGTGACCGCGGGCGGCGGCAAGCTGACGCGTCATGAAGAGCAGGTGCTCGAGGGCCTGGAGAAGGAGCTCTTGTCAGTGCGCAAGGCCAGAGACACGCTGGGCGATAAGGCGCCGAGCTTTGGGCGCGGTTGGAGGAGAGACGACGATGGTTCAAGGTCTGGGGCGCTGGGGAAGCGGCGGCGCGGCGACGACGACGGGTCGAGTGATGATGACGATGTTCCAGACGACGTGAGGAGCATCCCCATGCCGAGAGACACGCCGCCGCCGATACCAAAGGCCGAGATGGACAAGTGGTACGCGAAGCGGAGGGCGAAGCGCAATGCCGAGAATGCAGCCCGGCGACGCGACGCGGGCGACAACGAAGCTCAAGACGGCGAGGACAACGACAGAGGCAAAGGCAGGGACAGAGGGCAACGGAATGCGGCGCCGGTGGTGGAGTCGAGGACCGTCTACGAGGCAAAGCCGGTGGTGCGAGATCTGCGCAAGGAGGCCGTGGCGGCGTTTGTGCCCACGTCGGTGCAGATGAAGATGAGCAAGGGCAAGGGACAGGGCGGTCTGATGGAGCCTGAGGAGGCTGATCGACTGGAGAAGGAGGGATACCTGAAGGTAGCTTCTGGAGCTGATCGAGATGAGGCCGAAGCCGAAGCCGAAACAGCGCCTTCTCGGCATGTCGTGATGGAGGAGGTGGAAGACGAGGATGCATAAAAGGCGTCATACCGCTTGCTACCTCGTCTTTTTCTTGCATGGTTTGGCGCACTCTGTTTTCATGGTTCACGGCGTATTTTTGAAGTCTTCTTGAGACACATCAAGCTCACGAGTTGAGCCTCATGGCGGCGGATTAGCAAGACATGTCCAGTTGTATAGTCCAATCCCCAACTTTTGGGACGGCAGAAATCCATCATGATGCCCTAATCGTTTAGCTTTCCGCAATCCTGATGAATATATCTGCAGCACTCCTGAGATTAGGTTATCTTGGGCCGTGCATATGGTCGGACCAGCCTGTCGGATGATATTCACATGTCTTGCAGCACAAAAATTCCGGTAGCGCGTAGAAACAAAAATCCTTTCTCATACCAAGACAACAACCCTTGAACAGACATGACACCTGGACTCTTCTTTCTTCTTCTCTTTCCTTGGCAATGGCAGTTGCCATATCGTAATGCTTTTCGACATTATACGAAAGTTCTCCAGAATATTATTATTTTTTCTTCTTCGCCCCCATCCATCCTCCACAAATGGAGACTTCCGATAGGTGGAGACGCCCGGAGTGCTCCGTCTCCCGCATTGAAAAGCAGGACACGCCGCTAAACTCAGCGATGGAGTCTTTCGGTCACTCTCGGCAGGCGGCTGGGCGGGCGGATCTCAATTAGTCAAATCTTTATTCTTGGGAGAGATTTGCTTAATCATGGGGGTTGTCGTGGTGGTGGTGCCGCTGTTGCTTTGAAACTGGGGAGAGTGAGTGAGAGCCGCCGAGAGAGAGCGAGAGAGAGGTTGAAAACGCCATTTCAAAGACGGCTGATCTAATAGCAGTTGCCGGCTTATCAATCGACGAGCAGGGCATTGATTGGAATCACACAATCAACAGATCATACCCTGTTGCCGGTAAGGAAAGCCGACAATGGTAGACACACACACACACACCAAGAGAAAAAAAAGAGGATCTCCTGTCAGGGCGAAGAATCCTGGGCCGAGTTGTGGAACTGGCGAAGCAGCAAATGGCGAGTTTCCATTACCTACAACTCGGCCCTCTTCGCCCATGATCTCGGCACAGCGAGCTATTCAAGCTGGGGGAGCGGTTCCACTCCGAACGAGCGAACGAACGGGTGTCGCCCCACGCCGACCACGGATATAAAGGTGAAAAAAGTGCTGCTACTATCTGTATTAGTACTCGTAGGGCGCCAGTTTCGACATTTTGCCCGGACACGACATCCAAAGGACTGCTTTCTCTTCTTGTCCAATTCTCTCCTCTTTTCGGGGTGGCGTGCAACTGAGCTTCGTTTTTGGTTTATAGTTGCTCAACAGCCAACCACTTGATACTATATACCTTGGCGGCGTTTTCGTGTCTTGTGTCGGTGTATAAAAGAGTTGGGAAACTAGGAAACAAGTTGACTTGGGACAAAGAGAGCCAAACCGGAGGGGGAGAAGAAGAAAAAGAACGACAACAACAGAAACCATGGACGCCAACCAGGTCAACTCGAGAGCGATTCACGATGATGATGCTGACCTTGTGCCCGAGTTCAACAATCTCGAATCGTCGGACGACAAGGCATCAGCAGTAGATGCCGGCGAAAAGGGCGCCACGACGGGTGAAAACGAAAAGGAACTGTCACAACAACAACAAGTCAACGATGACGACCTAGAGCGACAACACACAATGAGATCAACGGCATCCTACCAAGAGACCTATCCCGAAGGCGGCCTCCAGGCATGGACCGTCGTGGCGGGCTCCTGGTTCGCCATGATCGCCTCCATGGGCCTGATGAACAGCATCGCCGTCTTCCAGGCCTACACGCTCAGCCACCAGCTCAAGGACCACAGCGAGGGCACCGTCGGCTGGATCTTCTCCATCTATACCTGGCTGGCCTTCTTCGGCGGCGTCTACATCGGCCCCGTCTTCGACAAGTATGGGCCCCGGTGGCTTGTCATCGCCGGATGTGCGTGTACCGTGGGGGCCTTGATCGGCATGAGCTTCTGCACAGGCAAGTTCTTTTTGTTTTTGTTTTATAGTTCTCTGTAGCACGAATTCTGCCTCCTTTCTTCTCGTCCCCGTTCCGTCCCGACTCCATGACTAACATGAACGCTTCAGAGCTCTGGCAATTCATCCTATCGTTTGGCATCCTAGGTGGCATGGGAACGTCACTCACCTTCACCCCGTGCATCGCCGCAGTAGGCCATTGGTTCAAGGCAAGACGAGGCTTTGCCACCGGGCTTGCATCAACGGCAGGAGGCATCGGAGGCATCATCTTCCCCCTCATGCTGACCGACCTGTTTGCGCGTATCGGCTTCGGTTGGGCCACTCGAGTGCTCGCTTTGATATGCCTCGTGTGCGGGCTCACAGGCATCTGCCTCGTCCGATCCCGTCTGCCACCGGCCAAGAACGCAACGGCTCACCCCGATTTCCGCATCTTCAAACAGATTCCCTTCCTCCTGACGACTCTGGCCATCTTCTTGTTGGAGTTTTCCCTCTTCATTCCCCTGGCCTACATTGCCACCTACGCACAGGACCAGGGCTTTGGCGATACGTTCGCCTACCACCTCTTGCCCATCATGAATGCCGGCTCCGTGATAGGCCGGGCGCTTCCGGGATATTACGCCGACGTCGTCGGAGCTTTCAACGTGTGCATGTTCTCAGTGGTGCTCTCGTTGGTGTCGTGCCTGTGTGTGTGGCTGCCCCTGGGTCACACAAAGGCGGGCATCATCATCTTCTCATTGCTCTTCGGCTTCGGAAGCGGTAACAGCATCGCCATTGCGCCTGTTTGCATTGGTCGGATGTGCAAGACGCAAGAGTACGGCCGATACTATGCCACCACCTACACCATCGTGTCCTTTGCCTGCTTGATTGGCATCCCCATTGCCGGCAGCATCGTTCAGGCCGATGGCGGCTCCTACACGGGGCTCATCATCTTCACTGGCTGCATCTACGTGGGCTCAGCAATCCTCCTCATGCTTGCCAAGACCTGGCAGCTAGGCTGGAAGAACTGGCTTGCTGCCTATTGAGACACGGCGTCATTCGTCTCCCTTTCCACGGAGACAGTTTATAAGCACACTCATCTGCCTGTGTTCCTCTTCCAGTGATGTTCGGAGGACCAGCAGCTGTTAATATGATTCATTTCATGAATAGATATCCAAATGGTTCGGCGTTGGTGTTTTGGTTGGTTATGAAGAAAAAAAGGGGAAAGTATTTGCACACAATCAAGGAACAGTCCATGTTATTATTCGCATCGCATTTTGTGTTTCTTTTTGTAGCAGAGAGTTATGCTGGGTTATCTAAGTTGCATACATAGAGACGAAAAATTGATGAAAGCGAGTAAATAGATGGAAAATACTTAATGAAGTTTGGTTGACTTCCTCGTCCGTGGGTGGTATCATGATGCGTATAGTGCCTTTACATCGTCGGATCTCTTGTATCCAAAGTTTTGGTTTTGTTTTCTGCTGCTCCTGTCAGTATTGTGTCTGCTCCTCTAAATCCAATTCGGCGATCCAATTCGCCGCGTATACAAAATTGGCTTTTGTCTGGTCTATTTCTTCTCGCCGTTCTTCGACTTTGCAATATGCGCATCGTGGAGTTCTGCTACAGCTGGTATAATCAAGGCTTCAATCTCCTCTTCCGGATCTCCCTCTGGCGCCTCGTCCGGTCGTAGCGGCCTTCCCTCGGCATCGCCCCAGCCGCCGTGTCTAGCCACACGAAGCCAGCGGTCCTCACGGCCTGGAGCAACAAAGACAACCTCCCACTTGCGTGTTGAGAGGAGGTTTCCGACGACAAGGTGGTGCTGGTAGCGCTCAAGGCTGTAACGCGCCTTGTGGACGAGGATACGGGGATCCGTCTCGAGCTTGAAGCTAACAATCATGCCCAAGGGAGCCCAGCCCTCGACGAGGCTCTTGAGAAACTTGGGTACGGGATCGAGATCTATAATGAGGCGCTTGGAACGCGGCACGCGAGGGGAGGCATCAAAGTTGTCGAATGTCTCTTCGTCCTCTATTTGCGGTGACGGTGACGGTGACGACGTGTTCTTGGGGTAGAGCTTCTCGACTATGTTGGTCGATTGGATCTTGTGCTCTGAGAGACGCTCCGGCGGGACGAAGAAGTCGGACACGGCCGCAGCAAGATAGAGCAGACCGGACGAGCCCAACGGCGCCATAAGCCGAGCCACAGAGCGAAGCTCGTGCAAGTAATCGCCAATGGTGACAAAGGGCAGCAGTAGGAGCATATTGTCGCGGCGGGCGCTCTGGTACTTGCGCAGGACGTCGAGAATCCGGACAGAGTCGTCGGGCCGCACAGCGACGCGGCCGTCGGAGTCTTCGTGGAGAAGATCAAGGAGACAGTCGGTGGAGTGGGAGTAATGGCGCGAGTAGGGGAGCAAGCTGAACTGGCGATGGAGGAAGATAACGGCATATCCAGCAGAGAGGAAGTACTCAGCACTGGTGGCGCCACGGGTACCGGCAGAGAAGTTCTAGTTGGATTCGGTTCAATTTTAGCACAGAGTTCTGTAGAAGCTGATTGCATTTTGATTCCAAGGGGAAGAAGAGAGGACAAGCGAGCACAGGAAAAGATAGGTTACATACGTCAATGAACCTCACGGTATTCTTCTCCAATGGGACAGTCGTTCCTCCAGACGTAACCAGCACGACTCGCCGGTTTGCTGCGGCATGTTGTGTAATGAAGGCCTCGGCTAGCGTAGTGTGGGCGGCAAGCTGCTTGGGAGGAGGATTGCTAGCGAAATAGGCGTCCTCGGCCTGGAGAGACTCTTTCGCAGACATTGGTGCGATTTTGGCCTCTGTGTCTTGTGTCTCAGTGGAGTTGTAGGAAGACAGTTAGATTAAGTTTCAGGCCAAGGTGGGAGGTTGGCGAGCTAGGAGTTATGCTTCCAAGATGCTTCTGACTAGTACGGATGGCGGGGTTTATCTGATAAGATAGATCAATGTCAAAAGTCCGTAGCAGACAAGAGTGGCTTCCATCTCTGATGAAAGTATCAGGGTACATGCACATTTTGTACTTACATCCGGGGAAATATATTGATCATTAAGTATATTGACAGTGATGATGACGTTGAAAGCGCAAAGATGAAGACGAAGAAGCAACTCTCCTCGTCGCGACTAATATATCCAAGCTGTGCTCACAACTACGAAGCAGCTCCCATCATGATATCACCGACCGACCGGCCCATGTGCTGCACGGAGCAATGGAAGTTCTGTTCTGTCATACCATTCGTCATGATACATTTCCATCGTGACACATTATCTGCACCATCATCTCCCCTTTCAACTCACAACCCCCCCCAGTAACGACTGGATAATACATACAGTATGCGGCACATCGATATCGGTATTGACAGCTGTTTATTACCTCTTTTGACCGACAAACTTCCGCCGGCTCCGGCATCCAGTTTCCCAAGGCCCGACAGTCCGAACCGGCGCCGGTCACCGGCGGCCCTCGGCTCCGCATAAATTCCACCGAAACACACAATGCTTCTATGTCTAAGAAGTTTCCAAACTCGCATGTTATACATGAAACTATAGCAAGTGATATCAAAAAGTACGAATCTATATACATACGGTCATGTAGTATTTATTGCGCCTTTCATCTAGCCTTTCTCTATTTGTTACCGCCCCCGGGCAACCTCCACGCCCTTAACGGCAGGCTCTGCAAGTGCAGCACCTTTGGCTTGATATACCACAAAAATGTCGCCACGCCGAACAAGACGCAGAGGATATTGACAGTGTAATATCCGTCACGGATCATCTCGCAGCTTCCGCCGCCGTTTAAGCACCGTTCCTTCTCCCCCTGAATGGCGCACGAGAAGGATTCCGTGACAAGAGGGCCCTTCAAGTTGCTCGTGCTCTTGGAGCCGGGGTGGCAAGTCGCAACAGTAAAGGCGTCTACAAGCTTCAAGACGAAATACCGAGGGAATGTACCTCCAAGGTTAGAAACGCTAGAAACCATGCTCGTCAGTAAAATATACATGTGAATATATATCAAAAGTTACAAAAAAGTGAAAACTCACGTTGCCAGGAGTGTCATATAGGTGCCTCCAATGACCGGATCAGACACCTTGGCATGGAATGCCGAGATGGCGACAAACATGATGGTGTTTGTAAATGTCGAAAACACGTGCTCGCCAATGACAACGAGGAGATACCACGTCGTCACTCCCTCCGCCGGGAAAATGGCCACCGTGACTTGAGCAATCAGCGCGGCCAGCAGGCGACCTGCGAAGCCCCAGCACCACAACCGCATGGGCGTGTACTTTTGCGACCACATACCGGCATAGTATCCAACTCCAATCTCAAAGGGAAAGTCAATGAGGACCGTGAGGGCCATGTTATCCTTGCCGAAGCCCTTGTCGAGGAGCTTGAGATTCGTGACGCCGTCATTGGCCTGGAAGCCAATCTTGGCAATCAGGTGCACGATGATAATGGTCTGCACGTTGCGCAGCTTGAGGATTCCCCACATGATGCGGTAAACGTCCCAAACGCCATCCTCGTTCTGCGATTTCTCTTCGCGCTTGAGCAGGCCCAGTCCAATGGTGACGATGATGTAGACCCATCCCCAAAAGGTGAGATAGCCGCCGAGCGAGACAAGACCATCGTCGGAAGGCGTGCTTCGGAACCACTTGTTGGCAAAGTCGGAGGCATTGAGAGCGAGGAAGACGGTGTAGGACATGAAGTGTCCCGCCGTCAGGCCCACGGTCTGCGCCGTCGAAGCATACGACACGTTTCCGGGAGTCAGCAGCGTGAGGGCCCAGCCGTCGACGGCAATATCCTGCGTCGCGCACATGAGCACCAAGAAGAACCACCAGAGCATAAAGGACCAGACGGTAGGGCCCTCGGCCTTGCCAATCTTTTCCATCATGTCCTCCACGTTGGATCCCAGCCAGAGCATGCCGAAGCCGGACAGGAACTGGATGGGCACGATCCAAGTTTTCCGGCGGCCAATCTTGGAGCTCCATACCGCGTCGACAAACGGGCTCCAAAACAACTTGAGAGAGTAGGGATACGACGCCAGACTAAAGGTGCCGATTTCGCCATACGACATGTGGTTCTTGAGCAGGAAAGGCACAGAGCCCATGGCAAGGCCCATGGGGATGCCCTGCAAAAAGTAGAGCAAGACCAGCAGCAGAAAGCTCCTCTGGTCCTGCGCGGGCAGCTGGAAGAAGCCCACGTCGGTGGAGGTCGGCGTCTTGGGCACGGGATCGTCTAGGGAAAAGCCCTCACGGGAAATATGGTTCGCCGTGATGCTGTCGGAATCCTGGTGTGTAGCGGTTTTGCGCCGCATCTCAACCCCGTTGCTCATCTTGCCGTTGCCGTTCTCCTCTCGCTTGAGCGAGAGGGAGGGGAGTGGCTTTGACGTAGGCGACTGAGGTCGTCTTGTACGGAGACCCATATAGGACGATGTAAACTCGCTTCGAGTCGGCAGCGCAAACAATTCAATGGAGAGTGTGGTTGCGTTGGTTGCGTTTGCGCGTCTCGGATCGTCGGCCGGTTTGAGGGGCACAAAAAGGGCGGTAAGAGAGGACGCTTGCTAAATCGCTGTTTCTTTTGTCCGAGGTCGCAAATAGGCAGTAAAGACGGCAATCGTAAAAACAGAGCAGTCGAGGCTTTGGCGATCAAAAGAATGGTGTTTGAAAAAGTCGGGGACCAACGTGTAGCGTGTAGCGTGCAGACCGACCAAAAAAAAAGAAGATGCCAGGCACTTAGAGAAAGAGGAGAACAAAGGCGCACCAGCCCAAGAATCGGCCGCAGTTTGACAAGAAGAAAGAAAAATAGAGCAGCCCGTCTAGTGCATCCAGGCAGCAGTCGTCAAGAGGAAATTTGGGAATGGTTGGAATATTTTGGCGGCCTGGGTTGGTGTGTTTTGCGCGAACTGGAAGCTACCGTGGCCTCAAGGGTCTTTTTTGACCGGCGCGGCTTACAAAAGACGGAGGCGAGGATTGCCACCGGCTCCAGCTCGAAGTAGCAAGCGTTGAACGAACAAGAGAGTTTTTTTGGCTGCCAGGAACGGGGACTAGCGTGTCATGGCCATGCAGTTGAGTGTCTTGTGCCTTTTTTCTCGCCCCAGAAATTAGAAATCACTATATTACATACAAACCACGGATACAGTGTCTGTTCATCAAGTCAAGATGGCAGTCAGTGCTCAGTTCCGTGACAAACACTCTGCTCTAATGCGCATCTCTTATCTCTCTATCTCGTACAACATCCAGACACGCAAGCAACAGTCAGTGAGTGAATGGATGGATACGAGATCAAATGTTGCATGAAGGGAAAGATGCAGCACAGGATTCAGCGCTACAGTACAAGCACCGCCAATCAGTGACCACGTTTAGGCGGTTGGCCCGCTTGTGCTTCAGCGTCAGGGCGCGCGCGGTGTGTGGGAAAGGCCGGAACAAATAAGATCCAACGCTGAGTTCTGTCAGGGGTCGTTGCTGCTTTGGGCATTTCGTCGGCTCGGCTCATCGCATGACAGGTCGGCCTTCCTTATCTTATCGGGCGGGCCTGCATCATCGAGCCATCATATGCAATGCATCAACAACGCCATAAGTAAACAAAACCAAGACGCAGCTTGACGCGCCCATTCTCTTTCGCAGCAACATCATTTCTGCCGACTAGAGCAAAGTAGAGATGATGGATCCAGCTGTGGACGAACTGCAGACCAATCCTCTCGACGAGGAAATTGCATCTCTCAAAAAACAAGGCAAGTTTCTCGCAAGCAATCGCGTCAAGTCACTTTGCGCATCCCATCGCAACGCCATCACTTCGCGCACAGCGCATTTCCCTAGCTAACAGTCGTCTCAACACAGTCGCCCACCTCCGCAAAACCATCAAAATTGAATGCTCAACAATCCTCTCCTCCCCCTCCATCAAAGAAGCCCTCGTCTCCTCCCTAAACCCCCAGCCCACCCCCAAATCAGCCGCCCTCCGTCCTCGCAAGCCCCGAAAGTCTGTCGACCGCGACGAGCAGCTCCTCCTCACCCGCTCCAAGCAGCAAGAGGCCTACAATCAGCAGTGCCTCTACCGAATCTCCGCCTCCGTCACCGCCTTCAAGGTCCACGATCCCGACCCCAATGCCGTCGATGGCGGACACGTGCTCGGCCTGCGCTTCGAGGTCATGACGCGCGGCCAGTTCCTGCAGCCTTACTACGTTATGCTGAATCGCCCGTATCCCAACAATAGCAAGACCCTGCGCGTACATCGGCACACCGTTCCGCCGGCAATCCCACTGCCAGGCCTGGCGGCGAGGTACTTGCCCGTGCCGAAGCAGCAGATGGAAAACGACAACTCAATAGCTCCGCCCAAACAAGACCTGGAGAGATTTGTTAAATCCCTGAGGAGAGAGATTATGAGATACCACAACAGGCTGGGTGTTTCAGCAGACCTGCGGCGCAGTCTAGGAGCCCACAGCCAGGCGGCGGCAGAGGGGTCATCGCTGCCTTCAAATGCCATTGTTGATGTCAGCATTGCAGACACCGAAGCAAAACAAATACGGCTAACCTGGGCCGATGAACGAAATGGCCGTCTAGTCATGGATGATGATGGTAAAGTGGTCAAGTTCATGGTGTTTGGTGCAGAGGGGAGAGACTGGGAGACAACAAAACAGCTCACGGACAGTCAGGGACGGGTCGAGGATGTCGCCAAGATGTTGGAAGAATATGCGTCTGGGAGAGAATCATGATGTACTTGGTAATGTTCAAAAACTGGGCGTTTGAGGGGAATTCAATACAAGCAAGCATGGCGTTCAGGTCTGAGGAGCAAGGATAAACAACTTTATGGGGAGCGCAAAACTGCGCGTCATTTGCAATTGCGATTCGTCTTTTATAAGACAGACGCATTGGGGAGAGAAGCAACATCACATTCAAACATCTACGCAATGTCAGCTGCAGTGTATAGGCACGGTGTCACACCAAAAACAGCGAAGCTCTATAAAGAATCAATTCAATCACCACCAACTATCGAAACCCTGCTTCCCATACCTCGACTCCGGCTATCTATCACCTGTCGAGCGTATCTTCAGCTTGCTTGCACGCCAGCGTAGTCCCCTTCATGAGAAATTCAAAATTAAATACTGAATTCAATAAACAAAAAAGAGGCGGTGGGCTTGTGTTTCCCCACCAGACGTCCCATAACTCATCAAGGTATGTGCAGTATTTTACATATCTCCCTCTGGAGCAATAGATACACTGCCATTACAGCCTCTCCAGCCTCACCCTCACTTGTTCACTCTGTTTTTTACCCTTACAGGAACAGAGCAGCAATGACACCTCCAAAGAGAGCCATGCTGACGCCCTGGGTACGGCTAACAGCACCGTTGATTGGCAGGGGAGTGGTGCTGTTTCCAGTAGGGACCGGGGCCGCGGTGCCGGGAGCGGTGCCGGCAGGAGGAGGAGCACAGTAGGCACCGCTGCAGCCATCAGCAGGGAAAGAGGGAGCGGTGGGAGGAGCAGAGTTGGCGGGAGGCGCAGCGGGAGCAGAGGGAGCAGAGGGGGAGCAGTTGTCGCCAGAGCAGCCGGCAGGAGAAGACTGAGTAGGAGGAGTAAAGACAGAGGTGGAGGGAGCGGTGTAAAGCGGAACCGAGCTGTTACCGGGCACGGGGTAAACAGGAGCTGAGGCGGGGGCCGAGGGGACAACGGGAGGAACCGAGCTGCCACCGTTGCCTGGAGCCGGGTTGGAGGGAGCCGGGTAGCCGGCAGGGCCGGTGGGAGCCGGAACAGTCTGAGTGCTCAGGGTGACGACGGCGGTGTTGGTCGCAACAGGAGCAGAGGGAGCTGCCGAGGAAGCGGCCGGGGGGTACGCCCCGGTGGATGGGCCGCCGCTAGGGTGGGCGGTCTTGGAAGCCTCGACAGGGCAGAAGGTGGTGGTCTCAGGGATGACAATCGTGGTGGTGTGGTGGCCATTGGCAGGGCAGTTGGTGACGGTGGGAGCACAGCTAATGACGGTATGGATCGAGGTCACGCTGACAGTGCTAACGCTCCAGACATGATCAGCCTGGTTGGGATTGCAGTTATCGCCACAAGGATGAACCCAATGCCAGTCATGGCTGCTTTCGTCATCGCAGCCATCCATCACCACATTTCCATGGCTCGGATGCCAAATGTTAACATAGCCAGCAGGAGGCCCAGAAGTGGGCTTGTTCTCGGTGACAGCCTGCTCGTTGATGCCCTGGGGCAGGTGAACGCTGAGGCCGAGACCAATGTCAACAGTCTTGCTCAGGTCGACGTCGAGACCCAGCTCAAGGAGACTACGACCGGCAACGGCCGTCACAGCCGTGGCAGCAAGAATAAAGGACTTCATGGTGATGAAATGAATGTGTTTTGAGTGAGTGGACGGGTCAAAAGATCCCAAAGGGGTGAGTTGAAAGAATGCAGGGGGGAGTGGAAGATGCAACAAGGCTTGCTGAGGAGAAGAGAGTCAAGAAAAAGCTCGGCATCCAGGAGGCGAGATGATGGTCTTAAGTAGCCCTCTCAGTCTGGTCCATTGTGTTCAACAAAGCTTGTTGTTCATCTTCATCTGCCCTCCACATCCTTCGCGTCGCCTTCAACATGGGTCGTCATGGAGCAACCCCGTTATTGCGGGCAAGCTTAAGAGGGGGTCGGCTCATCAGGAAATTGGAAACAGAGACAGCCGCAGTTACACCCAAGGGGGAGAGCGCCTCCTAGCAACCGAAGATCAGATACATGCTGGTAATAATAGCAGTAGCACTACTCCGTAGTAGTAATAACACAGCATCAGTTGTGGTCGATCCTGACACATGACTCCGTGCATCAGCGGAGCACGACGGTGGCAGTGATAACATTAGGTAGCACCTATCTTTGGCCTTGATGTCTCGTTTTAGATGTTGGAGCATGGCAGTCTCAAGCTGACACTAGCTTGTCATCTCCCTCTTCTTCCTTCGGCACCGATTTATCCAGATGCTCATCGAGTCTCAAAGCACAGGACTCGAGAGGAGAGAGACAATAACAAAACGGCCTTGTGCCCTTGCATGAAGCAGCCATGGGGCAGATCGGACGCTGTTCCTGCGCTAGCGGCAGGAGAGAGAACCTCGCTTGGGAAGCACTGCACATCACTCTCTAGCACTCGCTTTAGCGATATCAGTGTCTCCTCCCTTGCCCTTCTCTCCCCCTTTTTTGGAGGGCTTTCTTTCTCCTTGCTTGAGGTCAAAAGTAGGGCTGTCGCTGGCATTGTTTTAATGTCTGCTGTGTCAAAAATCTCTGATGGAAAGGCACTGAAGTGTCCAGAATAACCTGGTAAACCACCTCTTGTCTCAACGGCCTTAGCTCGATGTAGCACAAGAAAGCGTGTGTGCGAGTGAACACAGTCCTGCTGTGCCTGAAGCCCACTCAAGTGCCATGTCTGTCAACCCCCGTGGCCCCCGGTCATCTGTCGATGGAGTCCCTAAGTATGATTAATTGTGGAGGCCCGGTGGGTGATCATCGCGCACCAGCTTCTTCCGTAGCATGCGGGTGGATTTGGTCGGCTTTTGGTCACAGCTCCCGGCCGCCACGGAGAGCGGCTTGAACACGAGCCTCGTTATAAGTTTGTATAATGCGGCAATGGCAGGAACCAGGACATCCGTGGTATGATGCCGTGTAGAAGCAGTTTCGCAATCGCCCGGTCAACTTCTATGCTCAACCCTGACACGCCAATAGCATGAGCTATTCGGGACATAATCACTCTTCCGCACTCTCGCTTCAATATTGCCCCCAAGTAAACATTGTTCATCAGTGACAATCACATCTTGTCCATGCAATATTCGCGTCATGACAAGTAATGGCAGATAGGCGGGTCCTTTTCTCAAAAGGCCGTTTAATTTCCGCACCCCGACCGGCACGCTCCTTGTATGCCGGGCTGGCTCCTAATGCAAGACGGTCATCGCCCTGTCCGGTCATGCTGGAAATAGCATCGTTCAGTCCGGGGAAACCAGCGACAAGGCGAAAAGGGAAAGGAAACAGAAACAGAAACATCTAGACCCTCCCAATCTCCCCACTTCTTGTGGGCAAATTGGACCTGTGCCATTGCTAGCGTGTCACAGCGCCGCTTCTCGAACGAGCCTGCCTTGAAATCGTGCTTTGCTTTGGCTCACCAGGGTAGCCAAGGAGAAGAAGAACCTGGCAGGATTGAAGCATTTATGCATATAAGAAGCGCAAGCAAATGCGCCCCTATCATACGTTAGAAGCTTAAAGTATAATAATGCCGGTACAGAATTTGGGTCAGGCATAGAAGTTGTATGACAATGCAGCGTTTGTATCAATGAAATGCACACGAATTGGCCTTGTGAATGTTTTTGTGAAAGCGCACTGCGTTCACCTACGTGAATTGAGAATTGAAATGTGATGAGCTGTACAGTACACCAGACATCGTTCGAAGATACCAGGTGATAATAACAGATAGTTTGTATAAATGGAGCAATAATGATGCAGCATCCCACAATTCATCTTGTTCCGCGGCATCGACAGCTCGTATCCCATGTGAAGGCGCTCTCGCATAGAGCCTCCCTTAGAGAGTCGCTACAAAGCGTGAGTTGCACATGGCAAGCGTCCCCGTTCAGGGGAATTGCGATCTCGATCCTAATAGAATCGTCAAGCAAGGCTTATTAGCGCTCCATCGCATGTTTCCTCTGCTCGTTTGTAAAATTCCCATCTCCACCCCGGTGATCGGAATCTCGGTTGTTGTTCCAGTATAAATAGCACAACTCTTTGTGATTTGCCTCCTTGCCCCCTTTCTCCCCTCCCCTCTGTAATATGCGACTGAAGCTACTTCTTGCAACAATCTTAACGGGTCTTCATCTTCATCTTTCTTGAATCTTCATCCTTCTTGAGAATTCCCAATTTGATAGGCTGACAAAGAGCAAGGGTAGCACATGTTTTGTGCATGCGTACAGAGGCAAAGAGCTTGGAGTGATGCAGCACTGCCGGGTAGCCCTTGAGATATGAGTTCAAGGGTGCAAACTGCATGTAAGAGTAGGGTCGCTGGGTCGGCTTGGCTTTTGCGTGTGTGACGCCCATGTCTCATGTCTCTCACCACTCCAGGCGCTGTCTCGATGTAGCCGGAGGAAGTGTGATCGTGCCAGCACTGCCAGTTGCGTCGTCCACTGCAGCCTCCGTTCGGCCATCGCCATCTTCGCCATCGAGCAGGGATCGGTCAATCTTCCACAGTTTGACTCGCTCGTCAACGATGTCGGTCCACTTCCTTATCAGGGGGTGAGCCTTTGCCACATCAGGGAAGAGCACTTCGTCGGCTTCATTGGCTTCCTCGACGTCGTAGATCCAGTTTCCGTCAGGGGCCCAGTAGTCAGAGCTGAATATCTTGACAACACTGAGCTCTTCCCTAGCCTCTGCCAGCAGCTTGGAAGCATCTGCTGCTTCTCCGTCCTCGTTACCAGCTGCGCTATTGAGCTTTCTCAGAGCCTCTTCAATGCCTTCCAGGGTGCCGAGTAACTGCCCTGCCGCCAGTCCTATCGTGGCGCCAAGGCTGAAACCCTCGTCGAACCCAGCTTGGATGGTCCGCTCTTTTGCCGCCGAGATACCTTCTCGATATCCTGCAGTTGTGTGTTCTGTCTCCAACCGCCGCATATCGGATGGGTGATGAGGGTTTTCAGGTCCACCCAGAGACGTAAGCAAGGCAGTAGGATCCTCGCCGGATCCCAGCCCTGATTCAGATTCGGGCCCAAAGACATCATCGAGGGAAAAATACACGCCGCCGGAGCCAGAGCCGTCTTCCAGTGCGGCTCTCTGGACAGAATCGCCGCCGCCGCCCTGCGCGAGATACTCGTCATCCATCGACTGCTCGACCGGGCGAAAATGCATGTTTTTTTCCCTTTTGAAATATCAGCCTACGAAAAAGAAATACGGTGGTAGGCACATTAGGTACGGAGCAGAAGCAGGCAGCAAGCGCTTCGTGGACTCCAGACAGGTACGCCGTACCTAGGTAGCAGTTACGTCTCTCGTCCTTTCCCTGTGTATCTCTGAGGCTCTCTCTGAGTTTCAGAATTCGGGTGGATTTCCGATTTCTAGGCAACAGGGGGAGAAGCTGAGCCTCGATCGATTCGATCTCTACCGCTGGTGGTAGAAGCGCCGAAATTCTCTCTGCCGCAGCCTTCGTGCCTTTTTTCGAGCTAGCATTTGAAATCCAGCCATGGCTGCCCCCTGCTTCATTAGTCACAATGCCTAGTCGTGCCAATATTTTCGGCTGAACTACGACACAATAGGGTGGTGTGCCTTACTGTGTGACTTGCAACGCGACTCTCAGAGACACTGTGCTGGTTGCACAGAAGTTGAAGCAACCAGCGCAATTGCGAGCTGCTTGGTGCAGTCTTGATACAAGGAAGCGTTCCAGCAGAGACAGTGCGAGTACAGTCTCGCTATACTAGCTCCAAAAATAGTGAAAAGCCGGGAAAAAAAGAGGTCGCCCTGCAAACTCACCCTCCCTTGCTTTGGAGGATAAAGCTTTCGAGTTGTCGGTGACACAAACTAGGGGGGAAAAAAAAGAAAATCCCCGGCGTAAAATCGACACCGCCTCTCGAAGAGACAAGTTTCTCGCCCACGATTCCTCCTCTCTGTCTTTCTATCTCCACGCTTCTTCTCTCGTCATGAATTTCTCTTTCTCAGATGCCCTTTAGCCTTTGAATTCAGAAAAAAAAAAGTCGAAGAAAAAAAAAAGCCCAAGAAATGATGCCACCTTGACGTAGCCGTGCCGACTTCTGCAATATTGCACCTTTTGATACAATCCATCCCCAACACACTTGCTGTATGTATGTGCTGTCATATCAGAAATTCTTTTTCCAAGAATAGGGTGCTGTTATCTCGGTGCCTTCCCACCCCTTTAACAGCAGCGTCTGTTCCTGGGCCGCCTCTTGGTATGCATGACGAGTGAGGCTCTTTTTGCCTAGAACTTCGTGGTGGTCATCCTGTCTCTCCCTTGTCGTTGCGACACGACACGACACGACACGATGCCGGCAACAACACGCACGCACGCACGCACACGGCCCTCCCTGCTGAACAAATAGTAGGGCAAACCTTGAATTCAAATCATGCCACGTATTCCCTACCATCCGGATTTCACCGTTTCCATTAATCATCTGCCCTTGTGGCGGTCAACAACTGGGCTCCGCAGCAAATCGTCCATGCATGAGCTGTTTATGGCGCATGGCGTCAACTTCATCCCAAGGCGGTCAGAGGATGTGAGAAGAGGCCAATGTCGGGTCAATGCTTGCTTGTCCTGCCTGTCCTGCCTGCCTTGCCGCCTTGTTTTCTGCTTGTTTGCTTTTTGGCCCTGGCTGCCGCCTGCGTGCCTGGTCCGGGGTGTCCAGCCAGTCCCCATCCTGTCGTCGTCGTTGTCATCGTCGTCCACCACCGCTACTACAACAACACCACCACCATCACATTCACCACCAATACGGCCAAACACCGTGTCTGCTCCAGTCTGAACCCGTCTTTCTGCTTGAACGGTTAAAGACTTCCATCACATGGAAGGATCGCTCTCCAAAAAAAGACATGGATAGATGCAACGCCACGACAACAGTAACAACAGCACCCTCGCCCACACCAACAGGTCGTGGCACACCAATAGTTTCGTCCGCTTTGCGGTGAGAAAGAAGCAATCATGCAGTCTCTGATGAGTTGTCTCATGTGGCCAGACCAAACAAAGCTTGCCGAGTTTCTCTCACATCCCCATCCTGGGTCAGAAACGGTAGAACCCAACGGTAGGTCGTAGAAGGGATATCTGCCCGAGCGGCTGAGACTTGAATCAAGCCTATCACGGACCCCATCGTACCGGAGCTATGGGAGGATCGGATCGGCCCCACACGCTGCCCATGAAGCGGGACGACGGCGCTCCATGTGGCTTTCTTACTGTATCATGTAGGTGTATGTATGAGGGAGGACTCCGTAAGCTCCCTCGTGATCTCGTCTCTGGCGCGCGGTCTCTCAAAGAGGGCCAACGGATACCCAAGAGTGGTCGCCTGTGCCCATTCGAGAAAACGTGCCAGCAGCTGAGTCGTCCCCCGGCCCCGTTCGACGTCAGGCAAGGGAGCCATCCGGGCATGGATGCCTTTACAGCTTGCATTTGCCATGCCATGTCGTGTTGTGCTGTTCCTGTGCCTCTGCCAAGCTCTAGCTGAGCGTCGAACCAGAAAGCTGTACGCTCACTCAGGAGTGGGCTCCGGAGATCGCTTGAATGTCATTGTCTCGTTTTTCTGCCCCATCCACGACGAACCACTCGTGAGAGAGGAGTGCGTTGTTCAACGTGTAAGCAAGGCGCTCTCTCTCCGTCAAGGCCCGCTCGTCTTGCCACCAGAGTGATGGGCCGGCGATGCTGTTCTCCAACTACGGAGTACTAGTGTTAGCTTATCAGCGGCTCCCCTCGCACACCCCTACCCCATGACATCTCCCTGTCTGTGGCTAGGTTCTAACTCACCGAGTTATCGAGTCTTGGAGTCCTGGAATTTCACCACGAGGTATTAAGAGAACGGCGTGAAAGGGGGGAAAAAAAAATCTGGATGTGAAAGCTGCAGCCACCGTCACAGATAGAGAGGTGAGGCTCGGGGAATTTTCTTTCGTTCTCCCGGATTTCACGCCAGTGCGTTAATCGTTAGTGTCATTTTTCGAATGGAAGCCAAAAAGGCGGCCCACAATGGCAGCAGTAGCGAATTCTGGGTTGCCAGACAGGGGAGGGGACGAGGGACGAGGGACGGGGGTCCTGTACGAAGTATGTCGTAGTAGCGATGCAAACATCGCCTGCCTACCACAGCATGAAGCGGAGAGTACGAAGTAGGTATAGGGCGAGAATTGGCTGTGCTGTATGATACTGTGCCTGTACTTGTACGGTGCTTAGTTGGGGACGTTGGAAGCCGCGTCGAACAAGCCCCGGAACGCCGTTCTTGCGAGACCCCCCCCTTCCTCGGGGCCGCCCGTTCCTGAGCTAGGAAGGGCCGCTTGGCTCAGTAGGATTCAACGCCCACCCTCCCCACCTAGCTGTCATTGCCCGCTGGCACAACGATGGTTCCAAATGTTGATGAAACGTCGCGTTTCGCTGCCTCTTTCTCAACCGGCTAACTACCGAAAAGGGGGCGGGGAAGCGGACAACAGGGGTTGAGGCTCTTCGGGATCCGGGCCGTGCACGTCATCAACTCGCCTTTTCTTCTGTCTCTGGTCTCGTCACTCAACGGGTTTCAGACGAGGCAAGGGAAAGCCAGCCCATGGTTTCCAATGCGCGCTATGGGCGAAGGTGGTGTGTATGCTCCGTACTCGTACTCCATATGCCCCCATATGTGGGTTCCATGTGCGTGTGTCTGGGTGATATGCGCGTGTGAACTGTCGGATTCCTTCTTGAGAAGCCGCGAATGTCGTTCGGAAGCCAGTGTGTCGATTCTGGAATGCCGCGCCGGGCAGTGATGTGTTTGCGAGTAACGCTGCTGCCCTCCGGTTTGCGACAACCGCCATGCCGATTGATTTTTGCTCCACAATCTTTTGGTCATTGCTGTCCCGGCCCAACGTGTCTTCCCGCAACCCAACGCGAGGTCTAGCAGCGGCTTCTAGAAAGACTGGGCTGTCCTGCATCCATGCCCCCAGCTCATCCCCTACCCTTGCACAAGACCCTTCCCGCCTAATTCCCAAAGCTTCCCACCCCCACTGTAGCCACGACGCCCAAGTTGTAGAGCGTTGGGCCAACCCTAAAACCATTAGGTTCGCTCAACACCAAGCAACCGCGCCTTTCTCGTCGTACTCATCTCATTAGTACTTCGTACTCGTAGTCACGTCCGCCCGGGTTCGGAAAGCAGAGACCTTGCCCTTTTCCGACAAGCCTTGCCATACCCATCCATCATCTCTCGTCTCAACACCTCCGTTATCTCTCTCCTCGTCCCGCGTACCGCTTGTTAGCGCCCTCCGAAAGGCCTCCCAGTCTCACACCCATTCCGTCGCCCGCCTCTCGCCGATACAAGGCAAACACTAAGAAAAAAAGAAAAGAAAAAGAAAAAGGACACCCCTGTCGATCACACAAGGGTAAAAAAATTCCTGCAGGGGCCAACAAAGTGCATCAGGGGTTTGACTGACCGCCAAGGGTAGACCGCAATATCGGGTGCCGCAATCATAGCAAAAAATAAGCCCGACCAGCAAAAAGGCCACGCGAGATCCCAGGAACAGGCGGCGAGCTCTCAAAAGAAGGCTCTCACCGAGTCGGTGTGGAAACAGTTTAAAATATCAGACCGTTCCCGCAACTCCGTCCACTTTTTCGTTCCTTCATCCAACAAGAAAAAACGGTGCCCTTTGAGCAATCGACCATAATCCGACCTCTCCTTCCGTTTCCCGAGCTTCCGGACGTCTCTGTCCAGTCTCGCCTTGCCGCATTACTGCCGCCAGCACCACTGCAACCACTATCCAACTCTCCTTTTTCTCTCATTTTTTTCTTCTTCCCACAAGCCAAAATGCGCGGACCATATGACACCACTGGCATTATCAAGCCCAACTCTCCTCAGCCACCAAAGCCCAAATAATGAATTTCTTTGTTTCTGGGTTGGCCTCCTTATCTTTCGCTTGCTTTCCCTTATTCTTCACTTTGTGACACGCTGTACCAGTCAGGTAAGCCCTACCCCCTTTACTCCCACACACTTTGTGTCATGTTTTCAGGAGCATTGCTGACGGCGGCCTTGCAGCTGTCTTTTTAATAGTAATACGTCGATCGAACCAAGCTCTCGATGACGATCGGGTTTTAAACGACTCGGGCGTTTCTTGGTAATTGCGGCACTCTTTCTTCGACTGTTGATATACTTTTGGGTTTCGGATAATGAATCGGTTTTGGGAGCAAGAGAGGGAAAATAGACTGGGAAAATTGGGTCAGGAGCTATCCGTCTTGGACCCCACGGACGAAAAGGCAATGCCGTGATATAGAGATATAATCATCCACATGAGCCCCCATGATCTGGGTAATGTTTCTTTTGTTATACATTGGGCGCCGCCGCCGCCAAACGCAAATTAATGTCTATCTTATTGAAGATTCTTTTGTTAGAATATGATGAACAGAAAGCAGAGAGTTGAACCATACCTGTCTGGATGAGCTTGAGAGTCTTTTTATGTGTCTGTGTTCAAACGAGCTCCTCGCTGTCTTCGATGAAGAGTCTTGGCAAACAGATTCGCCAGTCTCGAAAAGGACTTGCGTTGACCTTCTGGGGGTCTTTTGGGACACCAAGGGTCCACGTATGAGGAGAAAGAGAGCCTGAGCTGGATCATGTGTGAGAGGCTAACGAAACGGAGACGTCATCAGCGCCGTGGGTGGAGAACGTGACAACCGGCGAAGTGGGACTTGATATGGCCGGCACGGCGTCGGGGCCTCCCTAGTAGGGCACCGGCGTACGACGGTTGGGCCCTGTGAAATGCGGTGATTGCTGCCCATGCCCCATTCCTCCATGATGCCGGATGGGGACGCATGGGCCCTGCGGCAGGGTGGTACATGGGGAGAGGATGGAGAGGCTGGGGGCTGCAAGCGCAGGGCTGGCATCCTCTTGCATGGCCTCTGGATCTCGCTGCCACCCGCCTGGCTGGCTGGATTCGCTGATCTCGATGCCCTGGCCGGCTACTGCATCTCCAGCATGGGCATGTGGATGTTTGTGGATGTTTGTGGACTTGATGCGCCAATGCTATGAGCGCGGGAAGCGGGACGGCGCACGTTTGGATCTTTGACACACGCACTAGATGCCGGGACGAGATTGGGTTTGGTGTGGCAGCGCCGGTGGACTATCAGAGTCCAGCCATGTGTCGAATCCATCCATGCGTTCATCTGTGCGCCCACCTGTGTGCCCATGTGTGAGGCCCATCATCCGCGTGGCCGTCTGGGTGCGTGTCTGCTCCCCTGCATGTCGGTTGTGCGTGTGTATGCGTGTCTTGCCCGCCAAGGTAGGGTGACAGCAATGGTAGACTGTGTGGCCATGATGCCGGCTTAGCCTGTACCGTCTGCCGCACCGTTGAAAACTGGGAGGGCAACAGAGCAAGCTGAAGAAGAGAAGCCAAACGGTCGTATTACTGTATGGCAGGCCTGGAGTTCAGTCAGTCTCGGCGACGCAGGTGGATGATGCGTCCTTTTATACCATGAAGACGGCCGTTTCCTGGGACCCCCCTCCTTGGTCCTTGGTGTCCCGCGACCCTTCTCTCTTGGGCTGCGATTGTGATGGCTCGCAAAAGCCGGCATGACTTGGGTCAATGCTAAGGTGACTTTTCCTGATCCGTGAGGCTCATCCCGGGCAGCAAAAGCTCTTGTTGGTCGTGAGCAGATGGCAGATGATGGTGGGGTTTTTGGCCGAATCGGTAGTATCCATTGGAAATCCATTGGAAATCGTCATACGAAAAGGTGGTGGGGGCGGGGTTGGGAGAAAGTGCATCTTCATGCAGTTGTTCTTTCCCATGCCATGCCATGCATGCCATGGCGTCGAGTTGCCAAGAGCGTCGGATACGGATAGCAATAGCCTCTTTTTGCGCTTGTGTTTGCGCTTGCGCTTTCTCTCTCGCTTGGACTGTCTCGCTTATTGTGTGTCCTCTCGTCTCTTTGTAAGGGAAGGATGAAGCCAAAAGTCTCCGTTTCCTCCTGCGACGTCCGTTTCACCTGCCTCTTTCTTTTCTTTTTTTCTCTCCGATTCGTCGTCATCTCATGGGCTGTTCTCCCCCTCGCTGCATTAAGAGGGCTAGGCAATGGGGAACGTTCCTTTCTCGAGTGACGATCGAACGCTCAACTTTAATCCCTGTTGCCATTCTCTGCAGACAATCCCCGGTACCTGCATTGCGGTCCAAAATGCCGCCCACGTCACTTTGCGCGTGGCCACGCCTCCTCATTCATCGACAGGCCCGAAGCTCGCAGCATCGCCTGATTTGCCAGTCACTTTTGGTGGCGTTTGCTGCAGAATAATGCGACCAGTCTCTGGAAGCCTCGGATCAGGGCACGATGCTGCTGATGGCGTGTTGTGTTAGCAGGCTGATGGGAACATGATACTCGGCACCGGGTTGGTTGGACGGCTGGTACTGTAGTCGCCAGGCCACCTCGGACTGTGTTTGCGCCCAATACTCGTACTTGTTCCAAACAGGTTCTGCATCCTTCCCGGTCTCTCTGTTTAACCTTGCCCTTCTCTCAATTTCACCCTCCTTATCAAGCCACGACGGCCGCCAGCCCCCTGTCTTGACGCAGCTCATTCCAAATGTGGGCGATGAATAGCCGCTTGGGAAATGCGCTACCAGCCGGATGGTGGTACTCCGCTGCGTCAACGAATAGAAATGACACACATTCAGTGTATCATCGTCCTCACACCAATTACCAGCCGTGGCGGCAGGGGCCATGCCTGGGCCGCTTTGGCCCAGTCCTCAAACACAGGCTTTGTACGAGTACAATCAGCGTATATGACGGATCTCACCAAAGCTGAGCCATGTGGATGAACTGTGACCAGCAGCGGCCAGGTATTTGTCGTCGACAGCAGAAGATCAATCTGCTGAAAGCTGCGAATATACTCTACAAAACGTGCTCCTGGACATATTCACGATGCGGAGTGTGTTACCGCGACACTAAAGCAATTGCATGATGATACAGTATCTTTGAATTACTATGGACAAGCTCTCGTTGGTACCTCGTGCCGGAAGCGGTTGTCTGGAAATGTCGTCGGCCACGACGTACAAACAGGATGGATATGCTTCTTGCCCTTTTTTGTCACCTTGTTGGATTTTTTTTTCTCTTGATTAAAGTTTTCTTCTTTGGCCGATAACAACGCTTTCCAACATGCCTGGAACCATGCCATGATCTTCGAGGCATGATGTGTTTCCATGGAATCTTCAGGCATTCATTCGATTAATAAGCGCAACATTGCGAGCATCGCAAGGATTGTGCCATCCTCAGGCTTAACATCTCCAATATATCCAACGTGTCCGTTTCCATATCGAGCGAAAACAACAGGCGACTCATTGAAGCCGACGATTGATTTGGGAGTTGGTACACGATCCTCGGCAGTAGAGTGTTCGGTTGAGAGGTACCACGCCTCACACTGCTGCATTCCGTAAATCGAGAGAGCCTTTTGGCTATACGAAGCCGGGAGTCTGCTCTGAAGGGTAGAGCCGACGACTTGAGAATTCAGGGATAGCGTGGATCGTTGGTAGGAGCCGGTTTCCCATGGGAGATCCCACGTCTGCCTCATAATCTTTCTCAAGCTTTCCAAACTGGAGGCAGCAAAAAGGCCACCAAAGACGACGATGCCACCACCTGCCGCATACTGCACGAGCCTCTGCGATATGACCTCGCACCTAGCCTGAGCAATGCCTCCATCGGCCACAAATATAGCATGTGGCTCCGAACATTGGGTGAACAAGGTAAATGCCTTCTCCGTCGTCTTTGCATGCCATATGGTTGCTCTCTCGAAGAGCTCGTTCAAGAAGCTGGCGTGGGATTCCTGAAAAGTGAGCTGCGTCTGATCATCACCAAGCGTGAGCACGAATATGAGAGGTTTGGCTGGTCCGGCAGCCGGATCTTGGGTAATGCTGTGCATGCTGCTTCTGGAATACATTGAAGGAGGTGGACGAAACGAGTCGAGACCAATGGAAGAGCGCGTTGTGTCGCCGATGCTGAAGGGATCGAGTTGTAGGAACGGGCGAAGGAAATTTTATATTCTCTAGAATCCGACCGTGCCTTCGATGGTCTTGGAAGCTCTGCCTTTCACATTATTTCCTGGCCTCTGTCTTTTCCAGGATGCTTGCAAACCGGTGGCCGACATAATGCATGTCGAGGCGGGCCGAAGACCAACTCGACCCTCGCCAACAGCATGAGAACTCCACTCTCTGGACGGCATTGGAGTCGTCGGGATTCTCATATATGCTGTACACCCACACTTCTCATACGATTATTAGGTTTGTGTCACCAACATGCTTCCCTTGTCCAACAATACGGCACAAGGGATGCTAGTCTGGAGTGCCCTGTCTTGTGGCTCTATCTAACCGTTCAAACGACAAACCTTGCTCATTCTCAGGCACGTCTAATCTCGCACAGAATGAATCTTGGTACGGTATGTATGCTTACATTGTTGCGCGGCAGTTGGTCATCAAGTGAAGCAGGCAAGTCAGACAAACCATTCATCCTGAAGGCGCCTGAGCCACAGTAGCTGCATGCACTGTACTCCTCCAGAGCGGTCGATGCGTCCATGGCCCGTTGGCACTTCAGCTGTGCTGTGCCAGATCCACAAATAGAGCTCAACAGTCCAGGGATGAGAGTAGACTGAAGCTGGCGTGACGTAGTAGACTTATGCAGTGCCATCAAAACGACAACGACCAAAGGGTTTCACTCTCCACTTTGGGAAGACTTAAATTAGAAATGGCAATCAAAGAACAAAAGATAGTATCCGGTCTTTCAACCTCTCTCTCGGTGTCGTACAAGTTGTATGTGACGACCTGTCCGACAACAGATTCACGCACTCTTGCTTTACGGCGCCCCCCCCCCCCCCCAGAAATAGAGAATGGAACCCAAGCCTCTTTGATCGGTAAAAACTTCTGAATATGGCTTTGTTTCCACCTCCCACTCTTGCTGGCGCGGCAGGAGCAGCCATGTGCATGATGACCATGTGCATGATGGAGGTCAGGGACATGAGAGACCACTTTCTTGAGATTACTGCGCCAAGTGCCAGGAGACAGGAGACAGTAGGCTCACTCCATAGCAAACCAACTTGGCTGGCTGCTGCTGGAAATGCATGGCTTTGTTTCTCAGAGTCTGAATAAGAGTCTGAAGCAAGCTTGGGTGACATTCTCAGGAGAGGTTCATCTTCTTGCTCCGGCTAGCAACTTTACGAAGCCGGATCTCGACCATGCATTCATGTATCACAGCATATGGAGAGGGCTAGGGATGAGAAATACAACAGAAGTGTGCGGCCAATCCGTACACGAATGATGCCTCTGGTGCGCTTCAGAGGGGCATGCAAGTCGGCGACCTGAGCAAACTGCCCAACGGTGACTATTGGCAAGCCACTCGAGTGAAGGTGGGTTTCCTAGGCGTTCCTACTGGTTCTAGGCCTCGCTTGGGGCTGGATGAGGCAAACTTCATGATACATTACATGCTTCCCTCGACTGGCGTACAGGATACCATCCATAGCTGATGAGAGCGCAGCGACGAAGCTTTGGTAACCTTCCAAGGTCACTGTTGAGGTCCTCACTGTACTGCTGTTATAGCTTGTAGACCATAGCTATTATGTCGAAACGTAGAGGAAAGCTTCAAGGGCTTGCCAGCATCTACTACCTCTTGCTGCCATGTGATTCAGTGGTACTCCATCGTGAGTGGGAAATAACGGGGTGGGGCCGATTGGAGGGGCCGGACCAGCACCGGTGTGCCAGGTTTGTCGATTGCCAATGACGGGACGTCCCCAGGCTGATGGTGTGGCGGCAGGCCTCAGCGAAATGAGCACGCTTGGCCCATGCTCAAATCTTCCGTTATTCAGGCAGTTCATGCTGAGGCACAAGATGAGTGCTACCTGGTGTGAGCCGTCTTGATCTGTTTGTGTCTCCATGACTGACCCGCAACAACAAAAGGCCTTAACTGTGTCCAATAAGCTTGGAGTTGGGCTCGTGTGAGTGGCTGGTAAGTCGACGCAACCCCCCAAGGGGCTCAGGTATCGTCCAGCATCGTGCAGACTCGGTGAGTCGCTTGCAGATGGGTTGATTGGCTCTCATTTGCCAAGTTGAGTTCATGTGGCATGCCATTATGCCAATCTGACCACCACCACCACCATCAACACCACCACACCAAAGCTGGGTTTCGGGATGCCTTGCCTTGAACTCTCCCTTCTTTGGATTCTCTGGCTCAACCCCATAGGGCCCCAACTGCCCAGATGGCCAGGGACAGGAACAGGAATAAATTGTGCGGGGATTCGTGTGAATCCCGCCTCGAGATCTAGGGGACTAGCCAGCTGCCGAGACCTGCGCTAATGCCTTTCTGGTCACATCTAGCCAGGGATCAAGCAAACATCCGGGCTTCAGGTGCCTTTTCCCGTTTGTCCCTTCGATTCGGCTGGATGCTGCACGTCCCGTTCCTCGGAACCAGGATTAAAACGGCGCTTATCAGGCAGCTGCTTCCATCGGCCCCAGTCACAGCCTATGGAAAGGTGGTCTGATGCTGCGTGGCTGCAGATCTCGAGTAGAGGCATGAAGTTGCCAGGGTCCCATTGTCATCAGTTATTGTCCGTGAGAGTAGCTATTAGTCGGTTCAAGTGGATACTTGGCATGGCTCTGCGTCTATGCAAACGAGCTCTAGGCAGTTCGCACGATATCACGGCTCGGACGTATTTGTGCGGCTATTCTAGGACGAACAAATTCCACCCAGGATAGGATTTTATGCTGATGTCGTTGGACAAGGTTACCAGCATTCCGCCTTGTGAACTAGTAGAATTCTGACATGTTCATCCCATCAATGTTCGCCCTGTGACGAGGCTTCAATGTTGCCGCGGCCCTCCAAGATCCTCAGAAAGGGACGTCTCTTGATGTAGCAAGGGTTGGAAGTTGATCAACTCGCAGTGATGCCCAAGAACTTACAACGTATCACCCTAATTCGGGCGAAAGACGGAACGCACTCCTCTCCCCTCCTGCAGCAACCTGCATGATTCCTCTGCACCTGGAGATTAGAAACACAAGTACGGGCCACCCGAAGCCCTCGGCAACTGTGTCTCGACTTAGTCGAGCAGCCTTAGACTACTTTCTCCTCTCCAAACAGGGATAATGACCGAGTGTCGGGATGTTCATGCTTTGATGCTTGCCGCGTGTGGCATCGAGTGTTTGTGATGAGCTGAATACAACGACCCTTCCCCTGGAATCGAACACGTTTCGTATTTTGGGATACGAGTGGGTGGCTGCATTCTGAAGCCTGTTTGCATCGCTAAGCTTCGTGGGGTCGGCGTAGTGGGCAATTTGATGCAGTGGCGCTGTCCGCTATTTGTTGTCGTGGAACAATATCTGTGGGCAACATCGTATACTGGCCAATGCCGAAAAGCAGCACTGACGTAGGGAAGTTTGATTGATTGCTTGGGCTGCCTTTCGGCGACCAAGAAGGGGTTTCCTTCTCCCTGTTCTTTCTATTTCCTGAGAATTGCTGTCCCTACAACTGCCTTAGACAAGTCTCTATACGTTGCATTCGTGATGAATATTCATCCAAGCATCACTTACCAAGACCGAATTAGGAGAAGTAACGTAGTTTATCATGGTGGTATCCCATTGGCTTCGTTGGTTCACTGAAATCTCGGCGTCCTCGAGATTAAGCCAAGCGGATACTTGCGCGTGCTAGACGTGGGTGACACGCCCCGGCGATAAGGACGAGTCTAGAGCAACTGTTGGAACTCGGAAACCTTCAAAAAAGACAAGGGGCCAAGTTTCAATCACCAAGGGTGATAGAAGACCGATGACTTTACCGCGAGTGAGGCTTGGTAGTCCTGGCTAGTGGCGAGATTGTGGCACATCTTCCCCAGATGTCTCCTGGTGTTTAATCTTCCCTTGCGTTCCACTGGCCATCGAGAGCGACGGGGCCTCCTGCAAGTTGCATGGGACGGCACAGAAGTTGTGCTTGTGCCTGATTCCGATGCGGGTGCCTGGTCCATGTCAAGCTGAAAAGGTACAACTAGAGTTTGTTGACGGAAGTCATGACATGAATGTTATTCGTCCAGATTGTGGATTAATCCACGCAGATGTAGAATGCTGAGACATCCGTACGAGAATAAGAATGAGACGGTGAATAAAACTTGTGCTGTTAAAGTCGCCGACGCAGCAAGCTGTGAAGGTTAAAAAAAAAAGTATCCGGACAAGCACGGCACACTCGTCAGGCCTTTACTGCATCATCCGGCTAAGCATGCCCCTTCGGAGATCACTCCGTCATTTGTGACCACGACACAAGAGGTACAGAACGCGGGGACATACGCGGATATTCAGTATCAAGCCACCATGGCACAATTTGATCCTTGAAGCCGCACTTCCAATCTATTTCCTCCAAGACTGGACAGAACAATGACCCAGAATAACGACAAGAAGTAGCGAGTTGGGACGGCATCGCGGCATGAGTGTAGTACAAAGCTCCGCCTTCCTGTGTGATGAGGTTTGCATAAAAAGTCGGGATGGAGCATAGATGCGGCTTCGTCTGCCGCCTGTCCTCTATCCGTAGATGATTGGAGTTACCATGAAGCGCGATCTTGCAGAGATTGAGAAGCGGTATCTATCCGCGCGAGGACTGAAACTGGGTAACACAGGCAGGCCTTATTCACTCAAATAGGCACACCGAGATGTCGCTGTCTGGGGATGATTGGCGAGAGTGAGAGCAAAGGAAAAGAGCTGGGCGTAGGTTGGCTAGCAGTGGTAGCACAGAAATGCAGGTTTCCGGTCCGAGAGTCCGTGTGTCCCTTATCTAGAGCGTATTGCATGGCCTCGTGCGTCCGAAGAGTGAATACGACGTTTGCTGGACGGCTGATGGCTCCGCCACCGACACGAACGAGCCGCATCTGTCAAGTCGTCAAGAGAAACACATGGTATCTCCTAAGAGGTGTCCACTGATCGTAGTACTGGGTAGTACTACGGCATCATGCCAAGAAAACGTTTTGCTTCCAGGCTGCCATTTGCACGCCAGAGCCTCCATGGGTTTGGGGATCGCTCCGTATGTAGTTGTTGCAGCTTTCTAATCCGGGGTAATCCAGCAATTCGGGGCAATTCATTCCAGGCGGCGCGATCCAAGTCGCCGCACTTGCTTAGTGCAAGGTACAGCTCCACGCAATACGCACAGCATGGGTGCTAAAGTGAGCTTCAAGTGTCAGCACCAGACGGTCCATTTCACCTCTGTTTTAGCTGGGCTCCACTTGAATCGCACAGGCCCTACAGTAAGCCTCGCCAGCAGGGTTGGATTCAGTGTGGGGATCATAACGGACTTGCTGGCCTCTTCATCGTCTTTCCGCATGCAAGCACGGGAAGCATGGAGTACTAGTACCTGCTGAACTGCCGATATTGGACTGCGCTAGGCTTTGCCTTATTTCATTCCCTTTTCTTCGGTCCTGCTTGGCGGATCGTCTCTTCCATTGTCGGTGGGTCCTGTCTCGGAGAGCTCCTCTATCATCGCGCGACGTTTTGCTTGGTACTGAGCACGAGCAGCATCTCATTGTCTCGGGGCTGATTGTCCATCTTCCCCCTCCTTTGTCTTGTCTTGTCTATTGTCGTACAGATTGGCCAATTCGTTGGTTGGCCATCCCGTGTCGGCACCATGGCAGCCGTCGAGCCTGCTACGCGGAAGCGTGTGCTTCGGGTTATCATCGTGTCCCTTCTTCTAGACTTGGTAAGCCGCAGCAACTAGGAGGAGGCATCGTGAGCATCAATCATACCTGTAGGATAGACGGCTGATTTGGGAGTCACCCAGATATCGTTCACGTTTATCCTCCCACTGTTCCCAAAGCTTTTGGAGTTCTATCGGGATCGCGAGGCTCCCAACCTGATATACCATGACGCATCTCATGCCACTCTCCTCCAGCAGGTCCTCGGAGGGCTGAATGCATACAAAGCGTCCTTTTCCCGACCCATCGATTCCCGATATGACATTGTCCTTCTCGGTGGAGCACTGGGGTCTTTGTTTTCGTAAGTATCTTGTAACGTCCCTACGCATCATGGCTCTCCTTGATGGAGGACCTGCAACTTGTTGTTTCAGCTACTAACAAGATATGGTTACAGCCTCCTGCAAGCCATCGCGTCTCCCATGATCGGTCATTTTTCTGACCGCTACGGCCGTCGCTATGCGCTGCTTGCATCCATGTGTGGAAACATGGTGTCTGTGCTCCTATGGGTTGTGGCAGTCGACTTCCGCACCTTTGTGGCCAGCCGTGTTGTGGGTGGTCTTTCCGAGGGCAATGTTCAGCTTGCCACCGCCATGGCTAGCGATATCTCCGACGAAAGCACACGAGGATCCACCATGGCAATCATCGGCGCATGTTTCTCGGTTGCCTTTACCTTTGGGCCAGGCCTGGGGGCATGGTTGAGCACGGTTGCCACTGCATGGGCGAATCCTTTTGCAGTAGCAGCAGGTTTCAGTCTGATCTTGATCTCCGTCGAGACGCTGTACCTGTACTTTTGCTTGCCAGAAACTCTGCCATCTTTGGTTGGTGGTGTGGCAGCCAAGGCAAACGCGCCCGGCAAGAAGGATGGAGAGACCAAGGAAGTGACGCGGACGAACTCACGCTTCCTGCTTTATGCAACCCATTTTGTGTTTCTGCTGTTCTTCTCAGGAATGGAGACGTCCCTATCCTTTATGACGTATGATTTGTTCCAGTTCACCTCTGGGAAGAATGGTAGGTTGCTTGGATACATTGGCTTGGTAGCCTCTGTGTTCCAGGGAGGCATCACTCGCCGACTGACCCCCCTTTTGTCCGTACGTATCGGCACTGTCGCCTGTCTCACAGCCTTTATTCTCCTCAGCCGTCTTTCCACCCTTGGGGGCCTATATGCCGCAGCGACGTGTCTCGCCATCACATCAGCGACAGTTGTGACGGGCCTCAACGCTCTTAGCAGCTTCGAAGCCAACGAGCACGAACGCGGAAGCAAGCTAGGCATCATGCGGAGCTGGGGCCAGCTGGGTCGTGGATTGGGACCGATTGTATTCACAAGCGTATACTGGTGGGCAGGAAGAGAGTATGCGTACACCATGGGTTCCATGGGTGCCCTTGTCGTTGTCACAGTCGCATTTCTGGGGTTGAAGGCTCCCAAAGGAATGACTGCACCAAAAGCGACTGGAAAGAAGAGTCAATAGGATCAACGTAGGAGGATCCGGTCCTCTACCTGGCGATAGAGGCTCACTGAGATGCAGCATAGGAGGAATGGAGAGACAAGATGGTAAAATTGTCGAAGCATAAACTGATAGAAAATAGCGAGCGATTGTACAGTAACATATGCACGCGAATCGAACAAGTAGATAGATGTAGGACTGAAGTAATGGTCATTCAATGAGAGGAAACGAACGTATTTGTTATTCTAGATTTATCTCAATAATGTGTCATCGCTTAGCCATGCCATGAGGAAAGAACCAAGCAAAGTGAATGCCCCAGGCATCCAGACGCCAGGAGAAGTACTGCCGAGAGTCTACATTACGAGGGCAACATTTTAACAAGATGACTATGCATGTCATCAAATCATGGCTCTATAACCGCAGAGGCAATACACATGGCAAGGCAAAAAAACAAACAGCAAGAGGTTGTCGGGGATTGGGAAAAAAAGAAGAAAAAAGAGATGGTCGATCAGAAATCGAACCACCGCATGCCCGCACCCGGATTTGCACCAGGATCCTTGGCTATCACCTACGCAGAGAGAATAGGAGTCCAACGAGTTGCTCTTACTCTATACGGGCGCCAGCTTGAACCACTCGACCATACGGAACAGCGGTTCTGTTGGGACAAGAGGTACATATCGGGGTTTATAAGGGACGGGAAGGCGGTAAAGGGACGGGAGTGCTGGCAGCTGTCTGGACGCTGAGGTGGTACGCGTTGGGGGCTGGGACACACAAGCAAATATCAATGCTCTAGGACGACGGCAAACGGAGAGGCAAAGTTGTCCATCAGCGGCCCATGTAGGAACAATGAGTAATATTAGAGGGAGAGAGATTCTATGAGTACTCTTCTCTTTCTTCAGGAAATATTGACTCTACCAGCTTCATTGTGAACCAGGTGTAGATTGACTTGTGTGGGATGAGTTGAACTCTTACCATGATATCCACCTAGCAGCTTTCGCTATGGCTAGGAACCGATGACGATTCGTATCCCATCTATTTGTCTTAACATACCGAAGGACTACAGCAGACACAACTAGGTAGTTTTGTCTTCTGTAGTCCTTCCTGACATGACGGCTGACATTGGGACGATAAGCAAGCCCACCATCTTCCACTTCTCATCTGCCGAATTGTGCTTCATATTCGATGATTTTTGAGTTACTCAGCGACGACCACGGCAATTTCAAGAGTACTTTAAGAACCCTGCAATTGCCCAGGCCGTTGCGGAGTATCTCAAAAAATCTCCGAATAAGTAGCACATCTCTACAGATGAGGAGTGGAAACTGGTGGTACGAATGAATGAACAGGGAATGGCGTAGGCAAGTTAGCCATGAGTGTACCGTTCAACTCTCTGTTGAGTCACAGTTGAGAGACTCTTTAGAGGGAGGGGCATTCAGATGCGCAAAGTATTCTTTGCTGTAACACATCAATGTATGACCATCTTCAGACTTTGGAGTGGAAGCCCGTGTGAGGCAGTTATATGTCATCGCAAATTATGGGGCGTTTGCTCGGGGATGGAGACAGAATGCTCGCCGGCCGAACAGAAGCAATGTAAAGATACGGCCGTGGCTCTGCTTGAGAGACCCGATAGCCTCATGATAAAGCTCGAGATGTTTCTCCTTCCTGTAGCTTGATACCTTAGCAATTGAGCAGATATTCAGAGCTTCGTCAATCAACAGCGACTACACAGTTCATACATAGCAGACGGAGCCACCCTAGATCTGATGATCAAAGGTCCGACCTGCCTCCTGCTCAAACAACCCAGCCCGGCCGTAACAGCCTTACACAGGACTTGGATATGAGAGAACTCAAAACTCACGAGGGACAGAAGGTTTCCCTGGATGTCCTTAAGAGTCACACCGAAGCAGCTTTGTTGGTCGATCAAGTTAAGCTTCAGCTATGCCATCGATAACGGGACGGATGGGCCCACGCTAGCTAAAGAAGCTGGGCTCCGACTAACAATAAATACCATGGCGCTTGCAAGCCCCGACGGCAAATTGATCCGTGTCTAGTTCAGCAGGTGAAGCACTGGGTACTGCTGCTGCTTCAGACGCGCAGATGCATCGTCAACGTGGTCAAAATCTTTTGGACGGGGCTGCAGCAGCTTCAAATACTGATACGCACGGGACCGCCCCCTCACTCCCAACAGACTTTTCAGGCACTATTTCTGATACATGAGCTCCATTCTATTTGAGGCTGCACCTCTTATTCGGCGTTTGCCAAAAGGAACCGAGGGCAAGTACTGTACATTGCTAGATAAATAGATAGATCAGAACTTGGCAGAGGAAAAAACCTGCAGGCGGTGGCAATGCCCAGGTGATGGATAGAATGCATGAAGTGGGGGTGTTGACGTTTCAGTGTGGGCTTGGAAAAAGAGTGAGCATGAATGGAGGGGCTGATGGAGGGGTAACATGTGAGTGGGAGTGAGGAAAAAACCCATCGAGAGCGGGAAAAATGGCTCTGGCGATATCATATATTTTACAGGGGAGTCGAATTACTAGTCCTACTGTAGTAGCTGCAAGTGAAGATGGCGGAGCTAGAGAGACCGAGTCCATGTAAGGGATATGGAGATGGTCAAATGGGTTCTGAAGATGGACACTCACATAACACGGCTCTGTCGACAAGAAGAGCACATCAGCTCAGTCGTTTTCGCCACAGACTTTGTCCACCAAGTGATCGAAATACAGCGAGAGTCGAAACCATCATAACATGCTCATCACGACGGCTTCACACACCGCCTTTGACTCACTCCTGTGGTGTAACAGCCTCGCGATGTGGAAGATAAGGAGATAGGAGGTACCAGTACTTCATCCTTGGTGAAACCCAAACGACAGCGGCGAGTTGGGCAAAAACTGGCGCGCGCCAGTAGCTGGAGTGTGGGTGGATTGGGCAGTGAAAAAAAAAAAAAAAAAAAGTCAACGAGGGGAATGTGCTCCGTAGCAGCAGGCCAAGTCGTAGAAGTATAGCTTCACTTTGGTATCAGAGCATGCTCTCATACCATGAGTTTTCTTTATGTGTCCTTTTCTCCCGTTTTACTTTCTGTTTGCGTCACACCGAGTTGAATTTGAAGCTTTTGTGAAATCATGTAAAGTGGCCGATGACTCTTCAAAAGATGTCTGGAATACGTAGGAGCGCTCGCCAGATGGATTAGCACGTACTGGGTACACACGGCGAACAGAGCGGTGCGTAGCGGTGGGAGTGCGTATGCACTGGCACCCCGTACTGCAGAAAGGATAGGTTCGCTGAAACTGAAGTGCTGCAAGTGATAACCGCCATCATTTTAGGCACCAGGCTGGCGCTTCACATCTCGGACTTCAAATGAAGCCGTCATTGAGCCGTGGTAGAACTCTACGACTACTCGTACTCGTACGGTGATCGCCTCCCAACTTGCAAGGGATTCCAAGGCTTCCATCGGTCTGACTCTTGTTTGTTTGTATGTACTCCTCAGCTTCGTCCGTACTGTATGTTCCACCATCATACCAGATCGTATCGTGGCGGGCACTTAACAAGGGCGAGCTCCAATCGCAGCATCCCATTGGCCAGATCGCCCACAGCCACCAAGGCCGCTCAGGCGAGAAAAAAAATTCTTGCGGATTTGCAGTTGCGTTGAGTGGGAAGCGGGAGGGCAGAGAAAAATATTATTCGTTGGGGCTCGCTCGTTAGGGCTAGACCATGCCGCTTATTTTGCCCCTCCTTAAGGCTTTTTTTTCACAAGCCCCGTTTGCTGCCCCGCGCGTGGCAGAAAAAAAAAGCACAGAGCAATAGCGCTGCACCCCTCCACCCCTCCGCCCACCACCTTTTAAATCTCTTCTTCCCACCATCTGCTTTCGAAATTTTCTTCTCTTCTGCTCTTCGTCTCGCATACCCGGTTCAAGCATCCGATCTGCGAATTTGTATGTGCCATCTCTCCCTTCGCCCTCGCCTTGGTGATTCCATCTTCCAACACTTGGAACATCATCACCTCATCATCATCATCATCGTCTGAGGAACACTTCCGGCTGACTCTGCTTCCCTCCAGTACTTTTAGTCAAGGACTACACAGCTCACGCTAAATTTCACAAACCGCAAAAATGGGTAAGGAGGACAAGACTCACATCAACGTGGTCGTTATCGTACGTATCATCCTTTCTTCATGTCGGCATCATTCGCCGCTCTGATTCTCAAACACTTGTGCTAACCACCATCTTCTAGGGGTGCGTATTCCATCAATCATCTTGAATGAGATCGATCGAACACAGTACTGACTTGCTACAACAGCCACGTCGACTCCGGAAAGTCGACCACCGTGAGTTGCACCCTCTTCTCCTGCTCCGATATCAAACGTCGTTTGATACGGGACATCTACTCTTTGAACACAGGGCTAATCATTTATCATACAGACCGGTCACTTGATCTACCAGTGCGGTGGTATCGACCGTCGTACCATCGAGAAGTTCGAGAAGGTAAGCTTCAACTCATTTTCGCCTCGATTCTCCCTCCACATTTAATTGTGCCCGATAATTCTGCAGAGAATTTTCGTGTCGACAATTTTTCATCACCCCGATTTGCATTACCCCTCCTTTGCAGCGACGCAAATTTTTTTGGCTGTCGTTTGGTTTTAGTGGGGTTTCTCGTGCACCCCACTAGGTCACTGCTTTTTTTCTGCTTCGCTCTTACTGCCCAGCCATCATTCAACGTGCTCTGCGTCTCATCACTTTCAGCGATGCTAACCACTTTTCCATCAATAGGAAGCCGCCGAACTCGGCAAGGGTTCCTTCAAGTACGCTTGGGTTCTTGACAAGCTCAAGGCCGAGCGTGAGCGTGGTATCACCATCGACATTGCTCTGTGGAAGTTCGAGACTCCCAAGTACTATGTCACCGTCATTGGTATGTTCTTTCCATCAACTTCACACAGCGATTACAAGCCAGTGCTAACAAGCAATTCACAGACGCTCCCGGCCACCGTGATTTCATCAAGAACATGATCACTGGTACTTCCCAGGCCGATT